CATGTTATAAAACAAATCAAGTAAAAATATATAATAAAAAGATAAGTACAATTATTAAAAACGAAAATTTTACGTGATTCGACAATAATACATTTTTTGCAGTTGTACTAAGATTTTTTTTATTAGGTTTTGTTAAGTGGTAACTATAAATATAAATGATATTATCTCTATTTATAGTGTGGACAACTAGAGTTTTTTTTTTTTAAAAAAAAAACCTAATGAGCTTATATATCTTGCTCAATATTTTATAACGAGACCATTGTATTGGATCTATATGTAGTTTTATATTATGAATCTTTATCCACATCGATCTCTACAACTTAACACATTATTTCGGCTACCAATATGTGAAAAGCAGATTTCAGAATTCATCAAAAAATGATGAGAAAATATTTGAGTAAAATTCCACTTTTAATCTTTCACAATCGAAATGTCTTGGAGGCGTTGGCCGTACAATTTATGCATAATTATATAGGTAGCGTTGTATGTGCATATTTCTCTAATGATAGAGTAGAAGTATAACGTTTAATCTTTAATCAAAGTGGAGTTGGCCAATTATGTGCATAATTCTCTTGATCAAAGTGGAGGTCATTGCTGGTCCCTGCAGACCGTGCTCCCCTTCTCTAGGTTGACTAATTCATAACCTTGAAGCTTCCATACAGTTGCCTGGTGTATATCTGTTTTTTTTAAGAGGGTGAGTGTAATTATTTAGGTAGGGATGACAATAAATCAAATATAAATCTGATACTTGCTTTATTTTATCTAATAAATACTTATTAAAAATATTAAATGAGTTTTAAAGTGGGTATATATATATATATGCGCTAATATGATTTTATAGTATTGGTATTTATTCTTTATCGTATTAATACTTGTTAATTTATTTTGATTTTTTTAATATAAATTTTGAAAGACAAGGACTAAAATACTTTTCTAAAAATTTTAAGAACCAAAAAAACTTATAAAGAAATAAAAAAATGAAAAAAAAACCAAGGACCAAAATAACTTTTCTTAAAAAAGGATTAAAATGAAATATTTTGATAAATTATTTTTAACTACTATTAAATGGTTACTAAATTGAGGGTTAAACTGATTTGAGTAAAGCATAGGCAGAATAACGATTTATATAGTGATTTGTTAATAGATAATGACTAAATATTTTTTTAAATAAAATAAAAAATTAAATTAATAGGTCGAATATCTGTCAATTATTATTTCTAGATTCAGTAGCATAAGCTGTGGATGCTTTGCAAACCTCTCTCTTTTTTTTTTTTTTCAAAAAAGAGAGAGGGTTCCATAGGAACTTTAGTTTCTAATTCAATTTTAATCAATCAAATTTAGTTGAATCCAATAAAAATAGGTGTTAATATTCCATGTAACTCTACCAAAAGAAAAAACGGGGGATCGCAAGTCGTAGATGGATTCATTAGCTCACTGATTCCTATAAAAAGAAAAAAAGGCAATCGACCTTCGAATTATTGTTTAATGGTAGTGATCATGAATGACATCTACCCCTCCTGAAGTAGTTAAAACCATTTTAGATTTTGATTTACAGGGAGACGCTGTGTCTCGGTGAGTAGCTCTGTAATTTTATCTTGTTTTTGGGCCTATGGCCCAGTTTATTATAAAAAGAAAAAAGAGAACATATTTGATCTACTTCCTCACGATGTTTGGCATGGGAATATTTTATCTTAAAGATCCTCTATCCCATAATCTTATATGTTAAAAATGTTTTGATTTGTTTTATCAAGAAATGAATTCTAGGAAATTTGAGATTTCTAAGAACATTATATTCTCTTCAAAATTAGGAATGAGATGTTATTCTCAAATAATTCAGTGCTTTCAATTGTTATTTAAAACGGACTAAATTGTTCGTACTTTTATCTATAATAATATAATTATCATTACACTTTAACCCTTATTTTTCAAAGACTTTAATATAATATGCATGTTATATAACTTTTTGATAGATTTTTTATATTACTTGATGGTTATAGTTTTTTTTTTCCAAAGAATTGATAGTTTTAGTTAATAAAATTGAATTTATCTATGAATCCACAAATTGATTTAAATGTAATTAATACATTATATATGTGTTTATGTGCATAATTATTTAGAAAAAAAATAAAGTTGACAAATAAGATATATCTTAAGTCTCAAGGATAAAATAGTAAACTTATTTAAATTCTTTATGAATTTCTATAGATGAACAAAACACAATAAAACCATGTTACTATGAATTTTAAATTTTAATCAAATACAAACCTCATATTCTGAACGATTACATTTTCACCGATCACATTTCAAGAGAATATCTAATAATTTGTATATTAAATATCCTATAGTTTCTTTAGAGTCGTGTTTCTTTTTAGCAATATATCAAAAGTTGTTCCTAATCAACCATAAGATGATAGTCTATTAATAATAAAAAAAATATTAATTTATAGGTTAGGTTTAAAATTCAATCTTTGTGGCCAGCACTTCGATAATTTATTTTCGGAATATCCAAAGTTGTGTGTTGTAGAGTATTCTTTACCCACGCTAAGAGAAAAATTAGACTTGAAGTGTGCAAAAATTAGATCAAATATACCCTTATTAGTAAATCAAATAAAAAAAAAAGTTGTTCCTAGTCATAAAAGTGGAACTTGTTACTAAGATACTTGAATTCATTAAATAAACGGATTGAGATCCTTTTATGTTATTTTAGAAATATAATCGATTATGTTTCAAATTGTACTATTAACTTTAAATTTGATGATTTAAACTAGACGAGAGAAAAATATAATAAATAGTTAGATTATTATCATTTTTATCGTACACTATTTTATCTGTTTAATAAAAATTGAATAATTTAGATTTGATAAAATTGATCATGACATAAGTTAACAAGATAAAGATATCAATTCGGCTGGGCTAGGAATCCTATCAAATTTTATTTATGTGATCCTTAGACATCTTCCTCAGTGAAGGCGGATTTTCAGTTTCTTTCCATCAAAGAAGATGAAATGTTACAAATGCTTATAAAGTGTTTTACAAATGGGTTATAACGATCGAGAAATTTTAAAATACAGCTAGACCGAGGAAGTAATTCTCGTCCCCCCAGTTGCAATTGGGAGGCTGCTATAGGTGCAGAAAAGGGCGGCGCCAGTAATGGCGACATCAAAACATCCAGAGAGTGCTCCATTGGTAATACAGCTGTATGGATCATTATGTCTTTCGACGACCCTCTATTGGCTCTTGCAGATGCAGCTTCGAAGGAGCATTCCTCCCCTGGAACAAATCCACCCAGGAACCCAAGGGTAAGTATAACCAAGTGGCTTTTGAAAAAACTCATTTCTGTAGCCTTGGTTTTTATTTCGTCAAGGCAGTTCCCTCATGCGCATTTAGTTAACAAGTGCCTGCCGGATGTAGCAATAGAAATAGAGAAAATGACTATAAAAGCAAATGGAATTCATTCAGACATCAATAATATAATCAATCAATAGTATAAACATGATGGATATTGAAGATGGCATATTTATAGTTTAATCCTTATAGTTTTAATTATATTCAATTTAGTCCGTATAATTGAATATAGAAAATAATTGATCTTATGTGTCATGACACATGGTATTTTTTTGTTTTTTTCGCTCAAAAAATAAATCTGACACATGTTTTTTTTTTTACCACATGTCACTTTTAATTGGAAAATTGGCCGGAAACAAAATTTCAAAAATAAAAGGAGGTGATAAGAAATAAAATACAATAACCATATTAAGAAAATCAAAAGAACAGCATAACATTTAATGCTATTAATCCAATTGTATAAGTGAGGATGTGTGACGGTGAAAAAGGAAAATAACAAAAGAACTGTTTTGTTTCGTTTTTAGGTATAAAAAGAAGGTTGAGTTGCCAAGACGAAGAGGGCAAAATATAGAAAGAAAAGGAGATTTTTTTTTCCCCTTGATCTACGTGGATGCTATGACAAATAAAGTACGGATTTTGGTCATGACAAATAAAGCAAGGATTTTGAGATTGATTTTTTAATATTACAATATAAATAATTGCATGATTCTTGCACAGCATTGAGCTTCATAAAAAACAAAATAATAAAAAAATTGTAAATTCCAGATTTTCGAAATGGGACAATTTTTTGCAAATTTTAAATTTTTATGACGACAACTTTTTTTGCAAATTCCAAATTAAAAAAATGACTAGTATTATTCTAATATTTTTTCTTCTCAACTCAGCAACTTGAATAATTATATTATTTTTTTAATTATAGTAATTTATTTCAAAATTAGTATCACGATAAAGAGAATTTTTCAATAAATCTAATGTTCTTATAATTGAGTTCTCATCGTTGTGCAATTATAACTTATTTATTTTATTATGCTCTTAATTGTTGTGTATTGAGCTTGATTATTTTTTACAAGAATTGTAATTTACAGAGAGTTACAAAATTTGAGAGTTGCAAAATTCTTCCTCCCAGATCATTGTCTCCTAGGAAAACAGTACACAAGCAGAACAAATATAAAATGACAGCTCAAATGTCCAAGCTTGTGGACAGAAACATCAATGGCCTCACCATACCAATATAATCAACATATCTATAAACTTCAACAAAATACAAAATTTCATTCTACTGAACTATCCCATAATTGTTTGAATGACTCGCTGAAACTTTATGTAGCCAAAGATGTACAGAAGACGAGGCAAAAGAAAAAAACAAGCAACATATCATTGATTCCATGCTATTAAAATGACCTATTAGGGAAAGAACAGCACTTCAGGCATAAATTACACCGACAAGTGATAAATAGAGTTGGATATGCTTTGCTAGAAATTTTCAGATCGACCAAACAGAGTGTGGCACAAAATGCTGCAGAATCTACACTACAGCAAACTCAAAATAATATGGGTCGAATATACAGGACAGGTGACTGACTGCCAGCTCTGAATGGAGAGAAACAAACAAAACAAGAGAATTGGTTCGCCTTATACAAGTTTGGCAAGTCTACTTACTGCTCTTCTGGTTCTTGCTTTCTCCATAATGACCTGTTGGTATGAGCACCACTTTCATACCCACTACTATCACCTGATTCACTTACACGCTTATCCATCCTCATACCATCATGATGGGAGCGGCCAGGTTCCCTGTTGACTCTACGGTCCTGTAAATAAGAGCAAAAGGCATTCCTGATGAAGGCATGAACAGATATCTATACACAGAGGACTTGTGGCACAGCTACTATGAAAAACTTTTTGATTTGCTTTACATGTTCAGCGGAAAAAATTAACCACAACACTAATATTATAATTTGCACAAAATATATCAAGCATGTCAAAAAGCCTAAACCCCTAGATAATCATATACTTAGAGGGTACAAGAATTCCATAACGAGAAACTGAATATTGAAATTATGCTTCTTCTTTTTTTTGGGTTTTGGTGCAAAACTAAACAAAACTTTAAGAACAAATACAACTGTAATAAGCCTACAATTTTGGCAAGATTACTTTTAGCCTAATAAAGGTACTCAGTAATGTGATGAGCGAGTTGATAACTAAACTTTCTAAGAATGCACTCATAATTTCAAATAATGGCCGTTGTATAACGTATTCAAACATGTCTGCTGCCATTATAGAGAGCATAATGGCTTTTCATACGAATAGCAGCATTATTTGCCATTACCATTATACAATGCCATTATTTGCTGTTATTTGGTAAATAATGACCATTATTTAAAAAAAAATGATTCTTTGTATTTTATTATTGTTTGTGTGATATTAAACTATTTGAAGTGTTATTATCTTTCTTGTGTAATAAATTCAACTACTGTTGTATACTATTAAACTATTAGAGATATTATTATTATGCTTAATTAATAATTTTTTAAAAAAATATGGATTAAAACAAATTTATTAACAGCAACTAGCATGCTAACGCATTCACGATATCGATTGCTACAACCATTAGTTGACTACCGCGATAAACAGCAACCCGTAATTGCAACTGCAACTGTTTTTACAACTACATCCGCAATTTAAAAAAATGAATGCACCCATTCAAAACTCAAGTGAGCACAAAGTATTGCCAAACTTTGATTGCTTAACTTCTGCTTGCACTTCTTGTGCTAACTATATTAATCTAGGCATGCCCGTCTCATAAAAACAAAGAAACATGGAAAAGGGAGACCAAGGTGTAGCTTCAGACTCCAGAGACAGCATTGATATAGAAGAACTATAAATGAAGCAGTAATTAGTTGCACAGATAAACGAGCTCTTACATCTCGGAAGGGGAACTCATCTGCTTCAAGCATATGTATGACATGCCCCATTTTTGGTCTCTTTTGAGCATTTGGGTCGACACAGCGTAATGCCACCAATAGGGCACGTTTTAATGACCTTGAAGAAGGCTTCTCCGGCAACCTAGGATCCAAAACTCCCTCTGCATTCCGATTTGTGACCATTGTTTTAAGCCATTCAACCAGGTTCACCTGAAAGTCAGACTTACCGTTGGATATCGAAGGCAAAGAAGTATAAACTATATTGAACTAGCTGAAGACAATTTGCCAAATGAATTTGTTGGCAAATACAAACCTCTCCTGCAGGGCGGCTGTAATCAACAGGGCTCCTTCCAGAAATTATTTCCATAAGAAGAATACCAAAGCTGTATACATCACTTCTTTCATTCAACATTCCAGTACTGGCATATTCTGGAGCCACATATCTGTCGAAGAGAATAGCATACTTGTAATTTCAATTTGTCGACCAAGATCATGCAGAAAGCTATTGATATGAAAAGATGGTGATATAGATTTCATGTAAAAGAAGTTTAACTAACCCAAAAGTTCCCATTACTCGAGTTGTTACGTAACTCCTTTCTGACCCCAAGAGTTTTGCAAGGCCAAAGTCAGATACTTTAGGATTCCATTGCTTATCCAGCAAAATGTTGCTCGATTTGATGTCGCGATGTACAACCTTGGGCTCAAGTCCCTCGTGCAGGTATGTCAGCCTATATTTTCAATTAAGCTCTGGTCATAACAAACAATGGAAATGGAAAAAAAAATATTAAGAGAATCGAAGGTCTTATGATTAACCATGTTCTATTCAATCATTACCCTTTTGCTGTTCCAATTATTATATTCATACGAATCTCCCATGTCAGAGGGCTGCAAGGCCCAACATCTCCATGAAGCCACTGTTCTAAGTTTCCATTATCTACATATTCATAAACAAGCATCCTGTATAACAACCATGAACCCATCACTACACAAATGCAACGCCATAAAAAAAAGATGGTTACATCCATAATTCTAAAATTCAAAAGCATGAAACCAAACTCAAGTTTTCAACGCTAAAAACCAAGATCAAAAGAAATGAGACAAACCGGATATTCAAGTACAAACCTATGAGCTCCTTCAGCACAATAACCAAGCAACCTCACCAAATTCTTATGCCGTACTCGTCCAATTGCTTCAACTTCAACTTTGAACTCCTTCTCAGCTTGTCCCCTGCATCAAAGCCACAAACCATTAAACTCTCCAGACCTTAACAACCAAAGAAAAACTGCATGCTACGAAAGGAATCTCACAACACCAACAATTAACAAATGTGGTACTATAAAAAAAAAAAATGAAGGCAGATGACTTAAAAACATAACCATTACCTGTTATTAAGCAAATTTTTTACAGCAACATTAGTATTATCTTCCAAAAGACCTCGGTAAACAATTCCATAACCGCCTTCACCAATCACATTCTCATCAGCAAAATAATTAGTAGACTCCTCAAGCTCTCTAAGAGTATACCAATGACCCCACCCCAAATGTGAAACCTCCGGCACCGCAATCACCGCACCCGCCTGATCACCAGACCGAGGCCCAGAGCGGTTCTCCCCACTCCCATGACCAGAGCCGCCAACCCGCTCGGGGTACGAAATTCTATGATCCTTCCCAATCTCAATGTGAATTCTATTCCTCCCACCAACAGGACTGGCAGTCTCCTCTTCATTCTGGAGCCCCGATTCAGGAACTGGGTTGGGGTGGTTAAGTTGTTTTGGCTCGGGTAATGGATGGCTAGGGTCGACCCGGATTTCCTGGATTTCTTTGGAAATGTTGGGAATTGTGGGGTTGTTGTTGAGAGATGAGATGAATTTAGTAGTAGTAGTAATGGGTTTATTGGCTTTATCAGTTTTGTTGCGTTTAGTAGTGAACCAGAGAGAGATAAGGAAAAGAAGGAGAACTATAGCAGCTCCTACACAAATACCAAGAACTACCCATAAACGTAAACCAAAGATTGAGGTTTTCTTCGATAGCTGATCGTTCAAGAAATAATTAGACATTGCTACTACTAGTATTTGTTTTTTCTCTTCTTTCTTCTACTTCTTGTTTGTTTGTTTCTGTAAACCAAATAAAAAATAAAAACAATTGGTTTAATTTTCGCGAGGAAACAGAAGAGAGAGAGAGAGAGAGAGAGAGTACGTGCTGTAGCAGCGGCAAAATGATGAAAGAAGAAGAAAAGCAATTGAGAGCAAAGGAAAGGAGCGTACAGTGTCTGCAGAGTGAGGGAGTGGGTTGAGAGAGAGAGAGAGAGAGAGAGAGGCGAGCAGCTGGCATGAATAGGACTTCTAGAAAGGAATCCCAATATCATAATCATCCAATGGTATTTTAGTTAATTAAAAATAGCTAATCTAGCCATAGTGGTTTAGTCTAAGAATCTGCTCGTTTTCGTTTTAACTCGAAGTTGCATTTATGATTTACGGAAGGGAAAATATTAAATGGGGTTCTTGGATGCTTTGGGTTTGGAGGGATGGGATATAGACTCAAGATTTTGGGTTTTGTTTTTGTCATTTTTATGTGAGTGCTTTGATTTTAATGAACGAGGGAAAGAAAAATCAAAAGTGGTGGGGGGGCGGCGGCGGCCGTGGTGGTGGTGGTGGAAGCATTATATGTAAAATAATTATGAAGAAATAACATTGTAATAAAAAAAATTTACTCTCAAAATTTTAGCATTCGATAAAGTTTCTATAATAATGAATATTTTCATATAACGAAACCTTTTTTTTTTTAGAATTCCAATGTTAAATGTATTTGTATATATAAGATGAAAGTATAAAAAAATATTGATTTTTTTGCCATCGAATAATAAGAAATGGAAGAAAGAATTGATTTTTATGATCAATTAGATATATTTTTAAAAATATATATTATTTAAAATTTTAATCCAATAATTAATTTTAGACAGATATAAATAGAAAATAGGAGAAATTTTTTGGACTATCTTGATTTCCACAAGTCCATGAAAATGTGTTTGCCATAACCCAATGTTTAAATTTTTTATCTCATTATTTTCTTAGTTTTAACAAATTTTCGTATCACAGGATTAAATGCCTTTTTCTGACCAAATTTCTTTTACAAATTTCTTCTCAATTTGAACTCTAGATACCATATGCCCAAACTTTAAAAATCTTATTTAGGAACCATATATATTAGTACAAGACAAACAAAAGAAAAAGAAAATGAAATTTCAAAAATAAACTAGCATTTATATGTATTCTTAGAAACAAATTAATCTCTCCTACAATAGTTCGGTTAACTATAAATTAGTCCTTATAGTTTATTAAAATCATTAATCAATCCCTATAGCATAAAAAATGATTAAATATTCGTCTCTTGAGCAACAATATTGACCATAATAATTAAATTTAAACAGCTTTTTGTTCCAAAAATTTGTCCTTTCTTGACCAGACTTTTACTGAAAAAAGCGATGATGACATTCATGTTTATCATGTCATAATTAATTAAGTTCAGTTTATGCATTATTTGATTCATGTATTGTCCACATTAAGTTCTGAATTAATGTTCCGCAGTAAGCTATAATTATGCATATTGTGTTTGATTTTTTTCAACAATAAGAGAAATTTGTCACAAAGATTTTAGAGTGTTTATTCACAAACATAGTGTTGTTCTTTGTTACTTTATTGTAGTCTAGTGGCTCTAGATAAAATTGCAAGCTTTTTTTTTTTTTAATTCTTTTTGTTTTTGTTCAACTTGGTATAAAAGCCTAGTTATTTTGGCCTCGATCTTGATAAGTATAGGGAAAAAATAAAATAAAATTGAATACTGTTTGTGTCGATAAGTATGGACTCCAGTGGTGGCCTGGATCAATATGAAATAAAAAAGCTCAATGGCTCCAAATTGAATTGTTCGCTATATTTCTTGCTCTGTCTCTTATGGCTTAGTTGTACAAGAGAGGCGTTGATTTCGTGTTTAATGGTTTTGTCGATGCCGATTAGGCTGGAGATCCATCTCTTCGGCGTTCGACAACAGGATATGTCTTTTTCATGGGTCCTACTGCAGTTTAGTGGTCCAGTAAAAAGCAACCAATAGTTGCTTTGTCAAGTACAGAAGCCGAATCGATCCTGCCACTCGTGTTGCTCAAGAATGCATTTGGTTGAAGATTTTAGAGCTCAACTTGAATTGACATCCGAAGGTAGCATCAAGGGGCAGTGTTCAAAAATGCGAGGCTGACTCGGTTCATGAATGTTCATAACTGCATGCATGTTTATCATTCTATAATTAATGTTTAGTTCATGCATTGTTTGATTAATATATTGTTCACGTTAAGTTCTTGAATGCTCTTTTAGGCTATAGTTAATTATACATATTGTATTTGGTTTTTTCAAGAACAACAAGAGAAATTTGTGGCAACGGATTTTAGAGTGTTCATTTACAAATACAGTGTATTGTTCTTTCTTACTTTATTGTAGTCTAATGGATCTAAATACAATGGCATGTTTTCTTGTTCTTTTTCTTTGTTCAACTATTTTCCTATCTTAATTTGGTTCTTTTTTCTCTTTTTTTATTATTTGTTTTTTGAGCTAATCATTCAATCAGGGTCTTTGTAATTTCATCCCTTTTGAGGCCACAAGCTTTACCCAATTCTCTTGATTTGATGATAATAGAAGAGATTAATTGGGTTCCCAGAAATACAAAGATTATAAGTTGTTTTTGTCGTTATAGCTACACAAAACGATTATCATGCTAATCAGTTTCCGAAATGATTGTTATTTTGTTGTTTTACTATTCTAAACAAGGAGGATAATTGATTGTTATTTGCCAACCTAATTTCAATCTTTGTCCCATTTTAAAGAAAAACAACATAAATTCCCACAATAAAATCCGAAGTTATCAATGGACCAATTAATGTTATTGGTACACCTTCAAATAAAGCAAACACGTTTCATTTTTGCTCCGACCTCCGCTTCATCTAAAGGCTCATGCCTCTATTGAATTTACGGCTCGTATTTTTTTAAAAAAAATAGAACACAGTAATGATTAAAAAATTTTGTTCATCAAGGATTCTTTATCTATAAAAGATTTTTTTTGTCTATTAAGAATTCTTTATTCACCAAGAATTTTGGTCATTAAAAAAATATGAGTAGATATATGGTTTTAGAAGGCAAAACATAAGGGTTGGAATGTTTTTTTTTTTCTTAAATGGAAAAGTGGATATACTAGGATTGGATTTTGAATATAAAAATTATAATTATATTCTTGTATTAATTTTCTCTTATAATGAAAAATTATTCTTGAATTAATTTGTGGAGTAAGGAGAATTTTATTGAACAACATTAAATTTTATGTGTCTATTATTTATTTATTTTTATTCATTTCTATTTTTTTCAATTGAATTAAGTTGTTAATAATAGTAGTTGAATATCGTATTTTTTAAAATTTCCCAACATACTCCAGCTACCGACCCTTCATATATCATTCTTCGTAATTGAAGGAGAAAAACACAAAATGCAATGAATAAAACAAAGCCAACTAGAGAAACAATGCTTATTGAAGTTGGATCCGAGTGGCAATTAATAATGTGTTCCACGGCCTGTGGCTGTGGAGTAAATAAAACAGCTCATTTTGGTGTTACAGTACTCAAATGTCATGATAGCCAATATCATTTCCCATGATTTCCACAATATCATCCGTTAAGTTTGGTAGTGAAGGAGAAGGTGATATGCAGTGTCTAGTACTAATCTTTTATCGCTAGAGTACTGAAATGATAGGCAATATTATTGTTTACTTCGAAGACAATCTTTATGTGTCTTCTTGGCATCATATCTTATCAACTTTCACCACTTTCTGCCGACATATTTAGCCCTGTAGTAGTACGTTGAAGCAAGATGCCTCCTCAATCTTCATCAACTGATTGATTATTCCTTATTTTATGTCTGGATACAAGTGTTTGAGCCTTGAGGTTCAGGGTAAAAAAATAGAGGAAATGAGTCCTTCAATTTAATTTGTAAGGGGGAGAGACAAGAGAGGGATTAAAGGTTTTTCTATACTCCCAATGTTCCCCAATCACTGACGTAAGCTGGGGATCAACATAGGACGGTGGCCTTAGCTTAAAAGTATTCGAAAGAGCCTCTTCTCGTGTCTGGGTGTGACAAGTTAATTTGTATGTATTCAAGATATTAGTCTTACGGAAAGATTTGAATATTTAGTTTCCTAATTGGTTTAAAATTACTATGAATTATTGGTCACCAGAAAATTAATACCTAATTATTTTTTATTTTGATTTGGATTCTAAATTTCTTTTTTTATCAATAATATCATTTTTTAGTTAATTTACTGGTTTCCAATAACATTGATAGCACAAAAACACATAAATCTTAAATATTATGACATATTTTTTGAAAAAAACACTCCGAATCATGTGATTTTTATTACCTTTAAAAAAGAACTATAAAATTATCATGTATATTTATCCTAACTATAAGAGTATCTTCAATGGTACTCTCTACTTTTAGTTAGTATTTTTAATGTAAATAGAGAGCACTATTAATTATATAGATTGAAGATCAATTTCTTCTTCAATGCTATTTTCTACTTTAAGTCTTTATTTTGACAAAATTCATAAAACATTTAATTTCTTAAATTTTTCTTTTTTTTTTTTAATCTCCTAGAGAGACAGGTTGGTGAAGAGACTGAGTGGCATAGGTAATAATAATTTTCATTAATGAAATATAAGATAAAAAGTCATTTGAACTCACGTAGTATTGGAGAGCAAAAGACACATCTCACTTTTAAAGATAGAGATTGTGATAAAGAGAGTATTAGAGATGAAATTTTGGTCAAACCTCTTTATTATAAAGAAAAATTTTAATATAAAGAGAGCAACAAAGATGCTCTAATAACTCCAAATTTTAATTATTGAAACCTAAAAAATTGGTTATTTTCAAATAATTTCAATCATGTGTTTGGAAGTATCTTTTCCAAGGCATATATGTACAATTAATATAGTCAAAATTTGGTCAACTAGATAGAAGAAAGACATTGTTGATAAAAAAATAAAAACCAATTTTTATTGACCAAAAATTCAGAATAGTTTTTAACCAATTAACCTATTTAGTTTCATCATCAAATCAAGAAAAAATAAATAAACAAAATGGCCTTCTTTTCCCATTTGAGAAAAAGGCTTTTTTTTTCTTTCGCTTCATGTAAAAACAATTGCTTCATGTATGTTTTACACCCTACATACATACACACACATACATATATATCTTACTCGGCTCCTTATTCTTTCTAAAATTATCGAAAGAAAATTAACAAAAAAAGTCAAATTCTCTTTACAAAGGCATTGTTTTATTGCATAAGAAAACACAAATATTAATGGACATCCATGTAAGGACTAAATTATGGATTGTTCGATTCTCTGAAACCCAATTGAAAAAAAAAAAACTTTAATTAAAGGACCCAATTGAGAATTATCGAATAGGTTGAGGACTAATTTGAGGTTTCCACCTTTTACGGATTAACCTTGTCTTCGCTTTCTAATCTAACAAAGAGATGTTACGTTACTACCTTTGCACTTTGAACCTACAATTACATAAAACAAGCAGAGAATTGTATGCAATCAAGCTTTATAGACAAATCTATCACACCTCAGTAGCGCGACAACATTGCTTCTTGGGACTAACAGTAAAAATCGAAAATATACCTAAATCAATCACAAAACAAATTTGCAGGGAATCCAATATATGAAATGGAGATAGTAGATGATACATGTATAACTGAACATTTACATCTTTGGTCTCATATGGGTATATTTACCAAAAGTAATCTCCTAATTTCCTGATGTTCAGCTGTGCAGACATGTGAGGCAGCTTTCTGCGATTCACAAGACACAAGTATATGCAGAAATTAATTAAGTAAACATTTATGCACGGATCCACAGAAGCTATACACCCATGTTGCCTGGTAGATAGAGCAAGCTAATAGTTTATTATGCATCCCCCATTTATACATGTAAACCACCTTTTAATTTTCAACCAAAAAGGCAAATTCTTGAGAGTAAACATCCATTCTGTTGATGGTTCCAAATCAACATGACATGATCCATAAGTTCATCTCGCCTGCTGCTAGCTTGAATGTATCTTCGACTGACAGTGCCTCTGGATATTGATCAGAAGATCCGCCGGCCTGATGTGAAAGCTCCATAACATTAGAAGCATGCGTAATCACAATGAAAACAGAAGGGGAGAAGGGATGTTAGCACATTATTCTCTAAAGTTATTGTAAGAGCACAAGTAAATATCTAATGAACTGTTTCCTTGCACCAGATGTTAATTCAAGATGCATCCATATGCGGCATGTAGCCTTGTGCTTAGACTTCTTGAGTTAATAGAGAACAGTGTGCTGTTCATGTTAAAGTCAATTTCCAGTAACAGGGAAGATATATATTGCATAATTTGGAAGTATTTTATTGCAAATAATAATATGTCATATATTTAACTTTCTCTTAATTAGATTAACAAGGAACTTAAATATTTGAAGGACTCTACATTTTATATGCATGTAATGCCATGGTCATCAATTGTAAGGTATGTTAATTTGTTCTCGTAACCAAACAATCAAGTAGGCATTTGCCTCGATGGCCAAACCCAAAAGAATATGCCGTGATGCAGCAAACAACTACGATACCCTAGTCTATTATTTGTTTTCCAGACCCACATCTCATCCCCAGAACATGAAAGGAAAGTTGGAGCAAAGTTTTTATACTCACATGAGCATGTATCATGTAAATGCTACGATATTGATCCGAGGAAATATGAGCAGATACAGCATCCAAATTATGCTTCTCTAGTATGTAGAGGATGGTGGTAAGTAACCCAGGCTTCCTTCGTGAACACACGCTGAATTGTGCATCATCACCACACATGTTCATGACAACATTTGGCGAAAACCATGTTTGGAAGCAAGCTGGTGAAAGAGGGACAGAAAATGAATTCTGAGAGATTTTCGAGGCCGAAGGGAAGTTCTTTGGTGGTCCCTGAACAGCCAAAAAGGCTTCCCTCGATTCAAGTGTATCTGCTTGTGATGTGATTACTGATGATGGTTCAATGTCAATGATTGCTCCCTGTAATTTTTCAACCTTTTGCTTTTCCAATGTTTGGAGGGTTTGTTGGAGGGTCTTGATGTATTTCACTGCCTCATCTACAGTAGTGGACTTGTCTGCCTGTACATGCGCGAAGTGAAATCTGATCTTTGAAGAGATAAAAAAAAAGAAGGGAAAAAAGAAAACACATAATTTTCATGCGAAATCAGAATTGAATTCATAAATTTTTTGCAAGATACGTTTTTTCCCCTTCAATTGGAACAGCAATAACCATCCAATTATTCAGTGCTGTAAAATCAAAATCAAGTTGAATTCATTTGGGGCACTGTTTAGAAGACCGTATTCATAAACAGCAACCAACGTTAGCGCTTTTGATAAATGAGACAATTAATTTAAATTGTAAAACCCTACGTAACTGATGAAGACAGGTTTACTTAAGCTGTCTGTTCTCCAACAGCCAAAACATTCCTGATACGAGTAAATAAAAGAATTTGGCAGGGAACCAACAGAAAAGAAGCAAAGAAAAGTTAGCTAGGTCTCTCTTAGACCCAGTGCAACTTCCTATCGAAGCTCATCTACTGATCATGTAGCCTTAAAGATTTTAAGCAATCGCTTCCGTACAGAAATAGATTCGACTTTGTTCATCAAAGCTTTTTTTTTCCCTTGAAAAAAAAATGCAAGCGGATTTCACGAATCGAAACACAAAGATCGCAGTAAAATGAAATTGAACAGTAAATAAATTTAAAAAAAAATTGAAGTTCCTTGGGGCTTCATAAAGGTAAGGAGCCACGTGAAATACAAATCCATATATGTTCATCAAGGCATCCAAAATTGCATGTCGTACCAATAATTAATTAAGACATGAATATATATAGTTCTCGTCTCTTACACAGCACATGCTTTTCTTTCCCATTTTTTTAGACTATAATTAAATTTAACAAATACCTTAGCAGGAAGTTGAGGAAGCAAAGCATGAAGACTAGAAAACATGTTCCTCATCTTCTTTCTCCTTTCTCTTTCAGTCCATATGTGAATCTCATGCTCTGATTCTCCACTGCCACCACCATTAACAGCCTTCTTGATTTTTGCATCCTCTCCTTTTCTACTTCTCTTTTGACCCATTACTACTGCCACAGGCGCTACTTCCATATCCATTAGGCTACTGGTGGTTTAATTATACTATGATTTCAAGCCCAACTTCTTAATTATAGTTATCTGAATTAACGTGAAGGCACCTAAAGGCTTTCTCTCTAGAGATTTATTTTGGTTTTTAATTGTGGACATATATGGCTGGTTTTTAAGAGAGTAAGGGACAGAGAAGAAAGTATGCGTTTTTTTAACAGAAGGAAAAAAGTGGCAAAACGGTGTGGGGCTATGAGGTGATTTGGGCTCCAAGAAAACACATGACACCAAAATACAATCATGAGATAATGCCGTTATTTGGCTACCAAACAAAAACGGAAGCTAATCGCGTCATGCATAGATTCTCATTACCAAATATTTCATAAATAAAATATGCGAAAGAATTGAATTGAATGGAAAGTTACATGACAGTTTAAATAGGAAGTTCCTGATTCAAGTCTCTCTGAATATTTATTTTCGTTTTGTGTGCTTAACATAATAATAAAGAATTAATCTAAATTTTTAAATCTGTAATACACCAAAGATATATTAAAAAAAAAAATCATTAAAGAAAAAGGAAAAGATTTCTCAACGTAGGCAGCTCCACTTATTGCCATATGTTGAGCTTATTCAAGTTGTGTTTAGTAATATGTACATTTGGGCCATGTTAGGAAGTATATTTCAAAACATTTTTTTTATGCTTTTGCTTTATATATATATGTGTGTATTAAAATTATTGAAAACATTAAAAAAAATTCCATCCAAACATATTTTTCTAAAAAAATTCGAATTTTAACTAATGAAACCTCCTCTTTAAAACCTTAACTCACCATCTTGAACGGATGTAATATAGCCTTTTCTTTTCCTTTCCCATCAACAAATTCTTATTCATCAATTTAAATTTTCCAAAATAAATTAAAATCTCTGGTAATACAATATAGGTGAAAACTTGTTTGTTTGGTTTTTCCTTTTTTTAATAAATATATTTTTATTAGTTCTGAAAATCACTCTCTTTAAATTTAAAAGATTTTGCTAGCCAGTTACCTATTTTGATTATAGTTTTTCTTGTGAGGGTCCGGGAAGAAATAATATTTATGATATTTTGGATTGGGCCGCATTTTTACTTTCTTTTTTCAGAAAAAAATTGGAACAAAACAGAATTTCTGTTTCTATTTTACAATTATTAAAAAAAAAAATTAACGCTCACACGATCACTTGGCAATATATCAGCGACCATTAATTAATGTATAAAAAGTTTCTTGATCCACTCTCGTGCGTGAACATTTATCAATAATAACATATGTAAATAAAAGATAAAGGGATTGTGTGATATATATTTATTGACTACTCTGTTGATGAAGTGATCATAGATTTAAATCCAGAACCTTTATAAGATGGCAATTCAGTAAAATAGTAACGAATCTCAGGGTAAGAATGACCATCAGAATATTTTGCCCTCCAAATCCAAGAAAACGTAGACGTGTCATGCCAAATAACAGCACAGATCATGTCGTATGGCTGTCACTTTCCAAAGAAAATCCGGCTCTGAAAAACAACTCTACGTCTCTTTCTAAGCTGGTTTAGGTTAGCAAACGCTGCAGTTCTGTATCCATCCTTTCCTCTCCCATGACAGCGTCTTATTAATCTACTGCTATATTCTTAACCGAAGTTCTTAACTACCCCTAATAACTATGCATATGCTGGAAGTGGTACTGTTCTTGTGTTGCTGGAGTCCAAATACCAATAAATCCTTGCCGACCTCTTGAATTTTTCACCATTTTTTTACGTTCATTTCTTTTTCAAAAAGATTTCTGTCTGTTGTGAACTATACAAAAGTTTCAGTTTCAGTTCCAGAAACTTTTTCTTGTCCTAAATGATTTCTGCGATTGTAACTTACTTGACTGTTTGAAGATTCTCTAAAGAATGGCTCGTATATGTATATTACAAGTAAAGCTGGAGTTTTTGTCTCCATCCCAGGCCAGTAATCAGTATATATCTTCCTTCCTTCCTCCAACAAAAACCTTATCTGATGATGTCTAACCATCAGTTTTTAATTTTGAAATTCAAACCAGTGCTTGTATATGCTATATTTGTATCTTTTTCCCCTATTTATGAATTTACCTGTCTTTTGTGACTGATTTAGAACAACGTTTGAAACTGGACAAACTTTTTCAGCTCGATTATGACTATGAATCATGGTTATTCAATCTTTAAAGGTTGAGTATCAGGACAAGAGATTCACTTTTTGCATTAAAAACATACGAAAAACATAGATGAAATCCGCAGCAATCTCTGTTCAAGCCAATGGCATTAGCATTGTTAGAAGTGCCTGCAATTACAAGTCCCAAAGATTCTCTTGGTTTTGCGCTTTCTGTAGCCAAGTCCCTGATACATGCATTATTTCCGTTTCCTTACTCAGCCTGTGGTTTTACTGTCACCTAAAGCCATGCGTTGCAAAAATTCTTGGCAAGAAGCGCTTTTCCTACTTTTAAGCTGTAATCAACACCAACATTAATCCAAGCATATTCAGATCTTTATTATAAAGCCAATATGCAGATCATATCCCAAGAAACAAATTGCCATGTCATACAATAAAATGCAAGCATTCACAGATTGATAATGGTACAACGTCAACAAAAAAGGAAAAGCTTTCACTAAGGGAAGAATTCTAATTGTCATGACCAAGGTATTCCAGGATAGAAGATCCAAAGATCATTGAACAAAGAGCATAGAAAAATGGCAAGCATTATAAAACATCCTTCAACTTCATTTTCTTCTTTCAAATACACATTTCAAACAGAGTAACAATACAAATATTCATTGAATCTAACAGAAACACCTCGATTTCCTAAGTAATTAAACATGTAAATAGATTTTGGACAAACATTCCTTAACAAGGTTAAAGGATGCAAAGAGTTTGGTTCATACAGTTGTATTTAACCTGTTACAAATTACAAAATAAATAACCTGGTCAAAGGTGAAATGTCAGTAGTTTTGAGGACCATTTGCAGCTCATATGGTACCTGAACAAAGAGGAACTGTTATTGGTAGCAATTTCATTGATCGTGTATCTGAAGAGTAAGATCACGACTAGGACACACCAGATGGAGAGGTCTTCACAGTTTGATCCATCTCTCGCTGTGCCTGTGGTGTGCCTTCCCTGCAGATTTCCTTCATATCACCAAAAAAAAAAAGGGAAATGTTATACCGGCAAAAATTCTCATAAATACTCTAATACTTGTTGCTTAGAGTTTACCTTTGAAGATGCGGACAAATTGAAGGGTGCATGGTTAACCTGGACCGATGGTTCAAAACCAAAGTTAGTTTCTGATGAGGTAAGGTTTGTACCCGAATGAATGGCAATTGGTTGATTTGAGATGGTGCAGTGGCTTGGAAGATTAAGAGCAGTTTGCACTGAGCTTTCTTCATTTGCAGAAAATATGCCTGTTAATGCGCTGGTAGTTAACAATCCATTTCCTTCATCAAAGCTCATTCCTGACAAGGGCAGCTGCATTGGCTGTAGTGCTCCTGGTAAGCACATCGGGTGCAAACTCAATCCATTTCTCATTGTTAACATCTGCAAATGGATCATGATATGAATCAAATAATATGCTACAATGACAATAACTGCATTGTCCACTCAGTGACCAACCTATTTTTGTTAATATTCCCATTGAAGCCATCTCATAATTTCACATGTTAACATTCAACTTGGGAGAGCATCAGAGTCAGAATGGTACTCCATGGAAATAGTATCTAAAATTGATTGGTAACTTTTAAATCATTTTAGTATGTCCTCTGCCCTGCCTCTGACTTGCAATTGCCCCAGGCCGCCACCCCCTCAACCTCCCCCCAATATTTTGCCTGGCATAGGCCTATCTGTATTTTGATTATCAATTACGAATGCCTAAAACTTTTTGGACTTTGGATAGATCTATTAGAGAAACCAGGAAACAAAATAGATCAGAAATGGGTGCATCGATGTTCTAAAAATTTTAACCAGATGCTCTAACTAAGTATAAGAAGTGTATGACCTACAAAGTATGAGACCATTCAATTGACTTCTACATCCAGTAAGTTATTTTAGGAATTGAAGCGACATTCTTGCGGTTAGCTGCGTAAGGCTGTTACCCTACTACCAGACAATGGCACCCGGTCCTTAGAACCACAAAAATGCATTAATAACTAAGAGCTCTAAAATCACGCTTTTAGTTAAGGATCACACACACACAGAGCAACAAAGTTGAAATGAGGCAAAACAAATTAATCAGAATGGCTTCAAACAAAGTAAAAAGAGCGCTAGAAACCACTCACCTGCACTTGAAGCTGAAGCTGCTTCAAGTATTCAATGGCCTCATCCAGCATCGAAGCCTTGTCCGTCTATCAAAACCAAAAAATATAACTCCAAATCAAATAGTAATTCTTTTGAAACTCTCCACATTCAGCTTACTAATTAAAACTTGTTTGCTGTAAAACATAGTGTACCTTGTTAGAGTTAGGAATTAAATTCTGTAACGCTTTCATTTTCTCATTGATCCTACTCCTCCTCCTCTGTTCGAAAATTCGTCCATTTCAAAAAAAAAACCCACATAAATTATATTCCACGCTAACCACATAGGAATAATAAAAACAAAAGAGAGAAAGAAAGAAATGGAGTCTTGCAAAACCGAACCTTTTCAGATAAATTATGAACCTCCGCAGCTCTACTCCTCTTCGACGAACTTCGCGGCCGCACTGCATTAGCTTGCACCTCAGCCATCTCCGCCGCCTTCTATATTCAAAATGTTTTAAAGAAGTTACTTATAAAAAGTAAAAAATTATAATTATCCGTACAATTAAAAGAATAAGTAACTCAAGGATTTGATTGAATAAAGTGCTGAATTACCAAATTACCTCGCTATCGCAGCTAAAATCACCTAGATCATCCTCCACAGAGACTCCTCCCCTCTTTGAAATGCCAGAAGAGACCGCATTTTCCACGCCTTCTTTAACATAACAACCACCAGGATCAGAGAAATTGACACCGGCTCCACACTCCGTTTCCGACCTCCCAAACCGGTGGCGATCCAACAATTCCATGGCGGCGGAGCTAGTCTCCAGCGGCGGTAGCGGGGTCGAGAGAGCATGATGCATGAATTTAGAAGAGGAAGAAGAAGAGGAGTTGCTATGAAGGAGTTGTTGAAGGAAAGTGGAGATTTCTTCTGGCTCAGTAGCTGGTGATGGTACAGTTCCGTACAGATGCGCCATAGATGTATGTTAGTTATAAATTTTTTTTTTAAAAAAAAAGGATAGAAATGAGCTGAAAGATTAAAAAGAAGAAAGCAAGAGGATCAAAGACTGGATTTTATTCTGTGTTCAAAAAAAAAAAAAAAAAGGTTGTGTGTAGAAAACAACAAAGTGCGTGCAATTGTGCGTGTTATCTTTCGGTTGGGTTGGTTAATGGTTAGCTGGTTGTTCTTCTTTAATCTTTACTGCTGCCTCTCTTTCCTTTTTTTTTGTGTTGGCCTTTTGTTTTTGCTGTTTAAGGGGGAGGGGGTTTTAAGGAGGCTTTGGAGAGTTTAGTGGAGGTTTTTGCATTACAAAGAAAGATGATATGATTTAAATAATCAATTTGGATTAATCTCCCGCCCTAATTAAAACTTCTTCTCTTCTTTTTGCGTCCCCACCCCTTCTGTTTATCTTATTTTCAATTTCACTTGGCTTTGCATGAAATCCTTGGATCTGGAGTGTTTCCTTCTTTTCCTTTTCTTTTTTCTTTCAGTTTTCTGGTTAATTATTTTTTTGCCATGCTTGCTTTTTTTAGTGTCTACTCTTTCTTTTTTTTTTCTTAAGGATTGAATGTTTTAGTTTTAAATAAATGGCTAGGAGAATATGTAATAGTTTTTCTTTCTTTCTTTTTTCTTTGCATTGCATACATGGTTATAAAAAAAAATATATATCTAATTGAAAAAGAAGTAAACTATCAAAGGCAACTTTTCTTATGAACACATTAGTTTAGCAAATCAGAAAGAGATTTATTTTTGAAATAATAAATATGTTACTTTTTTACATGTACTAAAACCATAAATTTAAAAACTTGAGAATGTTGATTTGAAATTGCAAAAGAAGAAATTCATTTTAGAATACTAAATGTATGTCTTTAGAAAATTAGAGTGAAACAACTAAATTGCAAGCCATCCATCGCATCGTTAGTTATTTTTTCTTTACATGCATATATAATTACTATTGAATTAGGTATTATCTTTTTGAAATAACTGTGACAAGTCTATCTCTGTTTCAAGTCAGGACAGAAAAAGTGACACGTATTTTTTACAATTTTAAGTACACTTGACCGCAATGCCAAATGAATTTTTGGGTTTAGATTTTAAAGGATGGATCTGTAGCATTAATCAACTTGGACCAAGGATACCTTTTCTTTTAAAACAAAAACCAGATCGAGACGACATGAAAAAGAAAAGAGACGACTAATCCAAAACATTATAAGAGGGGGCAAAAAAATATAACCAACGTTCCTCGAAGGGGGTATTCAGGATCCACTTCTGAATTCTTCGGCGAAGGTGAAAGTCAAAGAGACACCTTTCAAAACCCTCACTTGTCTTATCCAACCAAAACGTCACCTTAGCCTGAATCCTGAAAACAAAAGCATTTATTTAAGAGACCAAAAGTGCAATTCCCAATGTCACTTTTAGTGGCGTGTTGGCAACATTTTATATTCGACCAATGCGGTTTTTTTACTGACCGGATCTTACCGTATTTACAGACCGGACAATTTAGGACAAAAGCCGGTCGAAATAAATGCTGACCGGAGGGATTCTTCCTGGGCTAATCTCAATTTAGTCCCTGATCTAAGTATCTATATGAATTGTGTCCCGAAGCTATAAATATTATCAATTAGGTCTCATATGTTTTCCACATTTTTCGATAGGGTCCTCTTGTCTTTTTGTGTGTGTGTGTATATATATAATGTGCATATTAAAACGTCTTTTTGAAGAGAATTTGACAAAAAAAATTAATGAGCATTAGCAAAATAACATAATCAAGATTGGTTGGAACCTCACAAACCAATATATTTAGTAAAACATTTTATTGAATTTCATCTCATCTCATCAAGATTCTCTCCCATTCTTTATAGTATATTGATAAATCTGTACTATTGAATTCAAATCAGTTGTTAAGATTTTAATCCATACATAGATAATATGTTAGTAGTCAAATGTATCCATGGAAAGTTATTTAATTTTAAAACAAAATCTAATCATTATTTTGGTTTTTAACGGTTCAGATTTTACAAATATGATCGATTGCATCCTTAAAAACATAAAAGATTCTAGTTATAATCTATATCTATATTTATCTATCTATATAATATCCAACGGGCTTTTTATAGAGATCCAATTGTTTAAGAGAATTTATAAAGGTGATTGTTATTTGATCTACTCAAGGTTCATTTGATACATGTGTTTTTAATGAGATAATTAGTTCATTCTCTTTGTTTTAGAAAAACTAGTATTGAGTCTTTATACTCGTTTGTTGGTAACTCATCAAAATTAATTATTATCATTCCAGATTATCCTTCATTAGTAATCAAGATTTAGATTATATATATAATTTGCATATTATATGCTATATAGGCTTAGGGACTACTAAGAAGGAAATCTCAAAATGTATACTATCATGACAATATTAAATAAAATAAAGGGAATCTCAATTCTGTTGTAGTGCTGTGATCTACTGAAGCATAATCAAATAGCCTGATCATTTCTATAAAAAAAATAAAAAACAAAAAGAAGCTGGTCATCAACAATTTTGTTATTGGGTCTTGGAGGCTTATTATTATTGAAAATTGGACAAAATTCAACACCCATGGCCTGATGGAAATGGTAACTGCAACGAACGTGGGAACTGTATTTATATGTACGAAAACTATTTGATTGGTCAGTAAATGAGCTTAGTAATAATATTGAGCAGAGTGTGAATGAAATGACTGCTTTGATTCATATTTATCAAACCAATATAATAATATTTTATTATAAAAATATTAAACAGTAAGAAAAAACTTTAAAAAGATTTTGAACCAGTAATTAAATTATGATCTTGATATGAAAACTAACTTTAAACTCTTCAACAATACGAAAACTGATTTTTAATAATTTTTTCAAAAGTTTTCCTCTATAATTTTGAGAATCTCCTACCTTTTTCCATAGCTGTTGCAGTCAACGGTAGCATTTTTCTTTCAATTGTCAGTGTTCTTTTTTTTTTTTTCAATAATCTCATATTTAGTATTCTTTGTACTAGATCTCATATTGTTTTCTATATTTATCCAGTTTAATTTTTAAAACAAATTAAGATTATTTTCCTTGTTTTCATGTCCTTCTATCTTTTCATGAGTTTTTTTAATATAAATTTTATACAGACAGTAGTCAGATTTCTTGTCTAAATTTTAATAGATTGCCCACAAAATATTCCAGCTATCTATTCACTTGTACAATAATTTTTTTAATTTTTAGTTCTGAATTTTAAATATTTAATTATTTTTATTATGTTTTAAGACGTCTTTATAGTAGCATATAAACTCGTTTCATTCTTTTCATAAAAAAATATTTTTGTTGTTTGGTTGGGTTCTAATTTAGAAATAAAACTAGATTTTTTACCCGCGCTACGTTGCGGATTGGATAAAATATATAAAATCATATAGAAAAATTATTTCAGTTTAATAATTTGTTTTATGATAAAAAATAATTATAATTTTTAAATGAAAAAAATATATTTAACTATTTCTTATTTGTGTTTTTCAATTTTAGAAATAAATAATAAAGCAAATAAATTATTAATTTCTTTAAAATTTTAACACCCAATTAATTGTTGGTTCTTTTAAAATTTTAACACCTAATATTATTAAGAAATTAAAATTAAAAAAAAATTCAATGTTTAGGGAAAAAAAAAGGAGGACAGCCATTTACTCGTTTATGTGAATAGTAAACGGATGGAAATAAAAAAAAATAGTGTTTAGAGAAAAAAAAAAAAAAGAGGGCAAGCCGTTTGCCATTCAAATGAACAATAAACGGGTAAAAAAAAGGAGGGGGAAAGGCCAACGAGTGCTAGCAAAAAAAAAATGAAAACTTAAAAAACGAAAAAAGCCAAAGTAACATAGCAATGAACGAGTGATTAACACTTGTTCATTGCTACAATGAAAAATGGTTTTTCTTTAGTATATAGTATTAGATTTTTTATCCGTTCTATGCTTGCGGATTGGATAAAATATATAAAATCGTTTAGAAAAATTATTTCAATTTAATAATCTGTTTTATGGTAAAAAATAATTATAATTTTTTAATAAAAAATTTTGTATTTAACTATTTTTTTTTTAATTTTAAAAATAAATAATAAAAGAAATAAATTATTGGTTTCTTTAAAATTTTAACACCCAATTAATTGTTGATTCTTTTAAAATTTTAACACCAAATACTATTAAGAAACATAAATTAAAAAAAAAAATCAATGTTTAGAAAAAAAAAAAAAAAAAAGGAGGGCAGGCGTTTGCTGTTCAAATGAACGGTAAACGGATTGTTCCGGGGGAGGGGGGGGGACGAGGTCTAGCTAAAAAATTAATGGAAATTAAAAAAAACACTGTAGTAATGAACAATGATTTACATTGTTTATTGCTATAGTGAAAAACCATTTTGCTTTAGTACATAGGATAATAAATCTCTCTCGATTTCAATTTTATTAAATAGTTAGCTTTAGCACAAATAATAATAATATTAAAGAATCTTTTTGTTGGTGGAAGATCTTATCAATCCAATGTTTCTTGAAATTTTTTTCATTTTTCACTTTCTGGTCATACAGATGAGTCTGAAAACTTCTAGCTGTAACGCCTAAAGCCCATAAAAGCCCAGAATTTCTATTTTATGATTTGACAACAGACAGGAAGTTTGATGACAATCTGGGCCGCCAATTTTGCCAATCTGCCTCAACCAGGAGACTCTTAACTCCAATGTCATCATTTCTTTTTAATTTAATTCTCATGGACCGTTCCTTTGATGTAGCCACACTTGTGACAGTTGCCAAAAAGCAGGATTCGAGTGACCATTTCTCAAACAGATAAATGTAAATAAAAATTGAAAAAATTTATGGGTGCTAATGCAGAAATCGAATACTGTAGAAAGCAGACAACAGCTAATTTGCGTCGCAAGCGGTGAAAATAGTCCTCTGTATTAATCCAACCCAGCTCTAGAATTTGCAGAAGTGCCCATGTGCTAGCAAGTTATATTGAAATTTTTGAACAAGAAAACATCACAAAAAAATTGCTATCAAGTTGTCCAAAACTCTGAAGTTGCAAATCTAAGAGATCAGTTCTTGGAAATAAAAAAACAAAGACAATTGAATATTCAATTGATATCATAAACTAATGGTTCAATGATAAATAAATGTTGGAAACCAGTTTCGAAATCCCACTTCTTTAGGCAGTAGCGGCATCCAACAACTTCCAATGATAAATAAATTTGGAACTCCGGTTCTGCATTCAGATTCTTTTGTTTGACAGTAGCAAATATCCATCAGGATTACGTTTTCTTTCCTTTTTTTTTTTTTTCCCTTGAAAAAATGACTCCCAGCTGAGTCATGCCAGCGTATAAGACAGGACAGTCAGAATAGGTGATGCATGGCAGAACTCACCATCTAGTAACCAAAATATGATGAGACAATTTCAGGGCCACGCCTCTCATTTTCAACGTACAAGTGTAATTGCCTGACCATCAATATCCTTTCTCATGTAGCGAGTCCCGTTGTTTTACAAATGGGGCACCAATTCTTGTGTGTCAGCCATTGTTTAACACAATCCGTGTGGAAAGCATGTCCACAGTCCAGTGTTCCAAGATCTTCTCCATCATTGTATTCCTCCTGCATGAAAGAAAACAATTAGTGAAGCAAAGGAGATACTCTGGACTCACAAGGCACCAATGCAGATGACAAAATCATTACCTGGCAAATGCAGCATGGTTCTGCCTCCTCCTTGGCTCCAAAAGCAATAGAGTATTTCCGTTGTTTTAAGTTCTTTACTATGGTTTCTTCACTCAATCCAGTGCTGACATTTCCGATGCGCTCTTCCAAAGCCAGCAACTCCTATAATTCCAGAAAAAGAATCAAATTACAAGAACAGTCTTCAAAACAACGAAGACACCAAGAAACAATTTCGTAGGTTCTACCTCATACGACATGTTGTCAACATCAAGCCGCATATCCCTATGCCTATCATACATATCAGCTGCCCCAAACAACACTGATTGGTCAAGAATCATGACATCCTGCCCACAAGCAGAAGCAGAGGTTAAAAATCTGATACTGCTGTATTCAGAATACAAGTGCATTCACTCATCTGTTACCATGAGGGTGCTTATATACTTGCAATGAAACCACAGAATAATGGGAGAAAATTTCCTGAACACTCATTCTAACATAGTACAGTTAAAGAAAAGGATCAATAATATATTTGCATGGTCCCTTTCCTTCTACTTTTCAGTTACCATATCCAAGACAAATTATCGATCAGCAGAATCACAGAATTTCTTGCATCGATACCTTGGAAGGACATGCCGTTCCAAATGCAAAATATGTTATTTCGATGGTGGGTAATGGACAAGCAAAATGCCACATGTTTAAATGCCTCAGCAACATCTCACCCAAATTGGGTTCTGAGGTTCAAACATTAGAAAATGTGGGTTTCAGGTCTGTTGTTGTGTCAAAGAGAAGGAAAATGAAGGTAGGGAACAGTCTTTGCTTGACAATGGCCTTCTTATTTCCATCACTCATGCCAGAACAAAGTGAATAATGAACATCCTATAACTATAATAAGATTGTAACCTATAAATATAACTTCTCAAATTATCCTTTAGCAGCTAAAAAATTCACCTTTGTGGCTTCCGGATTTAGTTTAGAAGAAATTAACCATCAGCTCATAAAAAACAAAATAAATGGATTGCACATATAGCCCATCTCTCCACTTAACATGTAATAACCTGAAACATACACAAAATTTTTTAAAAAATCTAACCTCAAATCGCAAGCTTTCGCCCCTACGCATGAGATCCAAGACATTGCGAATCTGCTACATAAATATAAAAACCAACATGAGCTCCATGATCATTTGCTAAGACTCACAGACGTCAAGGAACTTGGAAGATGATAGGCATATAAATAAATTACATCAAGCCATGGAACTAAATGCAAAATATACTATGCACCAACTTTTTTCTTCCTGTAAGTATCATTAATGTTGCTTCAATGAGCCAGCAGAAATAACTGGGACAGGAAACACAAGCCATTGTTGGATGGAAAAAAAAATTGCATGAAAATAATGCAACTTACGGATCTAAAAGATTAATGATGGATGAAATTCAAAATCACTCACCATGTGAATGTTAATACTTGAAGATTGATTGGTATCACTTCCAATTTCTACTTGTAATTTCATGGTTTGGGTTTCAAGCTTTCATTCTATAAGAAAGTTATTTGTTTGGTGAAGAAAAAGGGAAGCAAAGTCCAAAATCTGGTGACTCATAATATAAAATTGGTAACTAATGACCTCTTACTAGTTGGCAATCCACCATGGTAGATGCCATTGCCAACTGGCAGATGGCCATCAATTAACCAACAGCGACCAGCGACTCCAACTAACAGGTTCATAATCAGCTAGTTCTGACCAGTCAACTATTGGCAACCTCTGACTGGTTGGCAATCAACTACGGGGTGCCTGCCAACCAACGGAGTGGTGGATGGTAGTGATTGAGAATGGGAGGATAAAGTTAGTTATAAACTGCAGCATTGATATCTGCAATTAAAAATAAAAATTACCAGTAGAACTTCTGAAAGCCAAAGTTTTTGGTTTTTCAAAGTTCCGAAAACTTTTAGGAAAGGAGAAAAGAAAACTCTTCAGAGCAGTTTTTAGAAACTAAAAACAAAAACCCAAAATAAAATCAGAAGGGATATCAAAAGCCCTGCAAAAGGTAGTGGAGTCCAATTATGCACCAATCATACTTGCTTGAAGTAGTGCATTAAAACTTAAGCCAGCCAAACCTATTCCCAGAAAGATGTGCACAGAGAAGCATGATAACATATTGCCCTTACTAAAAAAACAACTTTGCCAAATATTGACTGTCTTGGAACCAACAAAGCACACTAAATTCTAGTCAATAAAGAGTATATCACACAGAAATCAGAAAGTACGATCTATCAATACCCCAGAGCATGGATTTTTTTAACGATTATTGTGTCAAATTAATTGCCAAATTTAAAAACCAAAAGAATCTAAGAAAGGAAGAAAGAAAGTGCATTCTGCTCTTCCGAGATGACAGGAGGGACAAAGGGAAAGGAAGTTTCTCTATCTCCAGAAATCTCTGATGAATAGTGCTAAAGCCATGCAGCATATTGCCCGCCCAAAGTTGCAAGAAATGTTAAACTTCATTGAGAAGAAGCAAGCAAGTTGATAAAGGAATATCCAGCACAGCAATTGCATATAAGCCAGAACTAAAAATTACAGTAGAAATACCCAAAGAAAGAAAAGAAAAGAAAATTCTGATGATAACATACAACAATATCAAACAGCCTTTAAAGTTAAATGGAAATACTTAAAAGCCTGACAAAAGCAAGATAAGAAACAGACCTCAGAGACAACAAGCCTGTTTCTTCCTTCACTAGAAAAAGTCCGCAGAGGATAAGGAATTCCCAGTACACCATCACCTTGTCTCTCCAACCATGATGCTGATCTTGGATGTGGACGATGAAGACCCTGGTTACCAGCTCCAGATGAAAGCACAGTATCTTCTGAGGTGCCAGCACTGGAATGAAATGGGGAATGAGTGCTGCTCTGGCCACCAGCCTCAGCAGCAGCAGCAGAGGAAACAATGATCGACGAGCATACTCAGCTACAGCTAGTCTTCGAGAATTTCTTGGAGGATTGGTATGAGGACCCCAGGTTGGGGCAGATAAGGGGTGGATACCTGAGCTTGCTCCAGTCCGAGATGTAGAACCAACATTTCCTGGACCACTTCCCTGTCCACTGGTTAAACTTCTATTGGCTGGATTCCTAGCTGATGTTCTCAACTCGGTTGCAGGCGCAAACATAGGATGTTCCCATATGTGTCTTGCTATGTTTCTTGTGTTGGGTTCCTCTCTATCATCCAAAGTGATGAAACTTGATGGGTCGCCAGTTCTTGAGCTAGAGCTTTCATTCCATCCAAATGATTGCACATTCTGTGGCAAGGTTGGAGCAGGGATAACAACTGGCTGATTTTGAGTTGTACTATCCAAGGCTGATAATGACCTGAAGTCCAAAGAATGATCAATCGGAAGAGGTCTTGATGACCGGTGGGAAGATGATAAACCGGAACGCCTCACAGTACTTCCTGTAGAAAATAAAGAAGGGGGAGTAGATTCTTGATTTGAAGAATTGATCCTCAAACGGAAATTTCTATGGGAGCTTTCTGCACGTTCAGCAACAGTTGAATCTGGAATAGCATCACAAGCTAGTCCTCTCACTCCAAGTCCAAGTCTGGGGTTCAACTGTTCTGATGTAGCAGATATACTCAAACTGCTACCTGCATCATAGCGAGTGGGAACGCCAGGCCATGGATTACTCTCTGACCGCTGATAGAAGCTAGAACTTCCAGCCACAGATGACTGTCCTATATTTCCTTCAACAGCCTTTCTTTTGCAGGATTGACGGCGACCATCCAATGAGCAACCTGGTCTTCCATCATTCTGTTCCACCATGTATCCCCCACTTCCAGAAGGACGCAATAAATTATCTGAACTACTAGCAGGTGGATTCCGTTCATTTTCTGCCCCAATAGGCTTGTAAATAGCAGAGCCATCCATGACTTGACAATTATCACCCCCATGACCAACAAAACCAGCATTCAAGTTGATATTCTGTGGAGCTGCATCCGAGCTGGAACTCCGTTCAAATTGAGGGTTCACATTGACCCTGTTTAGTGAAAGAATATTTGTTGGTTCGCACCGCCTTTCTTCTAACCTTGGACCAGCTCCAGCAGAACTACTTGCTGAAGATGACCATCCATGTTCCACTTTCCTATCATCATGAATTGCCTGATTTTGTTGCCCACTGGAACTGGGTTCACCTAAGCTCCACCCACTTAAACTTTGTCGCTCTTGATCAATGGAATTTGCATATGCATTGTTCATGTCGCTAGGTGATAGCATAAAGTCTGTCAATTGGTTTTCTGCAGGATTTCGCATGTTACTCCAGCAAATTTGCTGATCTATGATAGCATTACCTGATGTAGATCCATGGTCAAAGTCCAAGGTTTCTGGCAAAGAACCAATAATACCTCTCTGCCCTTGCATTAGGGCTAATGTCAATGTCCCTTACAAATTACAGGCAAGAGACTGAAGAAAATTTCAATGCAAACAGCAATATGCACTATACCTGAAAAAAAAAATTAACATAAAGAACATGAAACCCAAAATCATAAGGCCAGAATTAATGTAATCAACTTAACCAACAAACAAGTCAATAGTAGCATCAATATGTTCTAATTTGTCTAGGAACTTAGAAAATATATGTACTTCTATTCATATAGAAGCTCAAGATTGCTTGCACAGACCGGAAGATGAGGGCAGTGAAATTTTCTCCTAGATTTGAACCAAAGATATAACCAAACTAACCCACGTTGCAGTTTTTATCAGCCATTGAGCTAGTTTATGGGCACATTTTTCCCTACATAAGATAGAATAACGAGTGCATGAGGATTATGTGTTACGAGTGCAAGAATATCATTTTAAGTATTCGACATACTTTCAACATGGAAAAGCCTACATAGCTTCATCTCATCAAAACCACAGAAGTAAGGTTCACATTGTGGTAAAGAAACATACGCTTTTGGGTCCATTAAGTGAAGTTCTCCAAACATTTACAAGCATGATTATTTAAGTTATGGCACAACAAAAAAAAAAGCTCATCAGCAAGTGATGACACTGCCCTCATTTGCTTCTAAAACTTCTCGTTCTGTAATCTCTTGATGATGGGTACGTGATTGCTGCATTACCATTTATGCAAGTAAGCTTTCTATCCATAACTCCCCTTACATGCATTCCCAAAAATCCAAACCAAATTCCGACCACAACTCAACAATCATAAACCAAAGCTCAGTAAGATAACAATAGGAGACAATCAAAATCGGGTAAAACAAAGAAGTCATCAGCGAATAAGGCTAACTGTAATTCATAACCAACCAAGTCAAATAATCAAAGGGTAAGTATTTCTTAACATCAACAACCAAAAAAAAAAAAAAAAGGAAGCACCAAATCAAACACATCCATGGATAGATACAACAGAGATTGAAAGGCAAAATCCTTTTTTCTAGCTCCCCAACAACCACACTCGTGGTCAATCTCATGAACCCATAAGCCACATCAAATTCAAAATCAGCTCAAAGAAACGCTTTTTAGAAATCAAAACCCAAAAAACAAAAAAAATTACAACTCAAAAAAGAATAAAAGCTTATAGAAATTGAAATAAAACCAAAAACCCACTTGAAATTAGCTTTGACAGCTTTTAGCAGCTGAATGAAACAAACGCAAATTAAAAATAAAAAATAAAAATCAAACACCATAAACAATCATACCATCAACCGATCAAGCTAAAAAATTGAAATAACAAGAAAAAAAAGGTTACCTAAGACAAAAAAACCCGATCGATCTAGCAATCTGCACTGAAACAACAAAAAGAATAAATTATTAGGCCCCAAAAGAATAAAAAATTGAAGGAAGAAGCCTCCTTTCTTTTATCTCAGCTTCTCTTTCTCGAGAAAAGAAAGAGAAAAGAAACAAAAACCTCACCGAAAGGAGAGAGGGGGAGAGAGAGAGGGGGAGGGAGAGAGCGTGAAAGAGGAGGAAGAGGAGGATATGAGATGTGAAGGATGTAATGAACGTATGTAAGAGAGAAAAGGGAGAGAGATTAAAAGAGGACAGTAATCACTAATTTACTAAATAACCCATTCAATCAAGAAAGAAAGAAAGAAATTAGAGAGAGAATCAAAGAGAGAAAGATCGGTTTCTCTAAACAAGGAATTTAATTTTTTTAAAAACAAATAAAAATACAAACAACGACATCAACACCAAATAGCAACAACAACTAGGCAAAGGAGGTGTCCACCTCTTGGGCCGCTTACCAGCTCTTCCTTCTTTCCATGTGACTTTTCCTTTCCTTTGTTTCCTTCTTTTTACTGCCACTATTTCTTTTATATATATATATATATAGTGTCCTTAATGAAGTTGTTACCAAAATGTTTTTGGTTTTAATAACAAAAACATTTTTGTATCACTTTATAAAAACTAAATTATTTTACATTTAGGTTTTAAAATTTAAATACAGTGAGACACATACAGGAATTTCTTTCTTTTTCAATAATAAACATGAGAAGGAGATATTACAAGGGTAAAAAAAAAAACGAAGTTACTTTACATATAGGTTTTAAAATTTAAATACCGTGATACACTTTATCGGAAATTTCTTTCTTTTTCAATAATAACCGTTAAGAAGGAGAGGAGATATTACAAGGGTAAATTAAGGTAGAGAGAGATGAGGGAAGATTGGTCTCTACTTCCAATGCGCAAGCGAAGCCAGCGAGCCCAACGCTCGCCTTGTCGTTTCCATCTTCTTCACGCCAAGCACCTCCTTTTTTTTTTACCATCACATGCGTGTTTTTTTTTTCAGGTGACTGGACTTGCAATATATAGCTGTTTTTGGGTTGTGACAAAAATTAAATTTTGCGTACGTGGCGTGGTAATAAATATGTGGGACCCCCTGTTAGATGACTTAGATTTTCTTGCTTTACCTAAAAATCTGATTGCTTGTTATTTCTTTTTTGACCAACTATTTATGTACTTATTTCCCATTTCATGGCTAAAAAAATAAAAATAAAAAGTAAGAGAGGACAGGTACGACAAATGAATGAGCGATGGCAAAAAATGAGTTAAAAAATGTCATAATGGTTAAAATGTTTTGATGAGTACGTTGTCGGCGTGTATCAAGGTGGAATTTATCAAAATAGGGATGCTTGTTTTGCTGAGTATCAATCTTTAGGTACAGGAATCCAAGTTGGTTCCGAATTGATTGTAGTATTTATTTACTTTGCTTGAAAGAGGTGTGAATGCAAAGAGCCCCACACCAACACCGAGTCCCTTGCAAGTACCTAAGCAGGTTCCGTCTAAACTTCTTTTAAAAGTCCAAACTCTTGCCGTTCATATCTCAATCGTGGCGTGGGCCTATTATTCTTATTGGCTTTTGTCCCTAATCGTAGTTTTGTAACCACCCCCCTTGTTTTTCTTTTCTTTTTTTTTGTTTTCTCTCCTCTCTTTCAAAGAAGGTTGCTTTGCTTTTTCATCCGTGTAATCTTTTCTATGTAGTTATTTCTGGCCACGAAAATGGACTCTAATCTGTCCACATGGATTATGCCTATATAACCCATTGCGTAATGGCACATTTTAAAGTTATTTGAATATTAATTAGTAAGGAGATAAGATTGATTATTCTTCCACTTAATAAGTGAATATTTAGAAACTTGCAGTGCTTTTGATAAGGTAGAAAAAACTTGGACGATCTAAACCATGCTAAGGAAAACGCCAAGGCCTCCTGTCTAATAAGTTGGTTTTTTTTTTTTTTTTTTTTTTAACTTTGCTGCAGTTTCACGTGCCTAACAGTTGAACGTAATAATTGAAAAATAAAGAATAAGCAATTTAATTTGACTTTTTGAATAAGGAATGAAAGAATATACTAGCAACTATTGGGGCAGCACGGTAAGTTTATGGGCTGGATGTTAATGAAGAATGAGTCCTCTAGGAAAAAGGCATGGTTGTTGCAATTATGAAATCAGGTCTAATAGCTTTCATGAAAAGTGGTTGTGTGCATATGGAGGCAATTAATTTCAGGGAGCAAAACTCATGAACCTCAACTTGGTCTGTAAGAACACAAAGATTGAGATGACCCACCTTCATCAGCATGTTTGTATATGAGGTGAGGTGAAGGTTGGATCCTGGATAATGATAAAGCACATGAGAAACGAGGGTAGGAAAAAAAAAAAAAAAGAAGCTTAATTAAAATGATAAACCTAACAAAATGGTTTATAAGAACTTAAAAGAGGACACAAGATTGCCTGGCAACTAATGACCTCAAGCCACAACCACTCAATTTGTGTCGTGACTTTACATAGCAGAAGGATGACCCATGAGAAAACAACCATCCCAAGGAAAGATGATGAAGTTGGTTCACACAGCAGATAATTGCTTGGTTATTGGACGCGTACACAAAGATAAATAAAGATGAAAAACAAAAAGTCAAGTGTCACACAAGAATCCTAAAAGCTGTCCTGACAAGAAAAGGGAAAAAAATAGAAAATAAAAGAATAAAATACTTCATCAACGAAAAGGATTCCAGTTGCCCAAACCAAGGATTAAACTTGAAAGAGGGAAGAAAGAGAAAAGAAGAGAGAAAGAAAAAGAAAACCATCGTAAAAGGTCCACTTGGTAGATGCAATTCGACAGCAGGGCACTAATTCGAGATTCATTGACAAATGCAGCTTTCTGTCGTCATTGTAACTGAGTTTCAAAATAATTCGTAGCACTAGTGTTAGCTTTCTTATTAAAAAAGTACAAGAAAATTTGAAGCAAATGAGCAGTCACAGAATTATTTTCCGCTTCCATATCACGATGAATGCACTGACCAAACCACCTTGCGAGTTGCGGCTATATTGTATTGCGGATGCACTATCATACATATGGCCAAGGGTAGAAAGGTTGGTGGTGTGGAGCATACTGGGGATACTTCACCCACCAAACAACCCATTGATAACCCACAATTTCCTACGGGTGGAGGTAGGCACTAATCAACTACAAGTCTACAACTGAAAAACGCAACAAAAAAAAAAAAAAACTGAATTTTTGCAAGTACGGTAAAAATCCGTTCCATAAAAACAATTGTTTTGGCATTTAAATACATTCAATTATGATTCAAATTACACTTTAAAAAGGCCAGCCCATTCAACATTAAGAGAGAGAGTTCCCACATTGTTGGATAACATAGTTTGATCGTACAAGCTGTCCAGGTTAAGAACACCAAGGGAAAATGAACTCAGTAACACGTACAGTGTAAGATGACATATGATTAAACTGCTAATAATCAATTCCAATTCATATGATTTACCAGCATCTCACTCTGCATCAGCTGACACAGTAAGACCCATAGATTAAGAGTGGCATCATCATACAAAGATTTACTTTTAGAGTTCATAATTCATAAGAAAGCAATCGAAATATGCTACAATAGAGTTCAGAAATGGAATACATGACAGGGTAAGCTTAAAGGTCCTGGTGAGAGAAGAGGAAACTAATTTACAATAGGTATTGAGAAGCTAGAAAAACAGAACATAGGCTGCAAACAAGTCTAATTGCCAGCTGGAAAAAATAGGGAAAATAACATTTTTTCTCATAGATGCAAAGAAACACTCTACCATCACAAGAACAGCAGCAAGATCACAAAGCCGGGTGAAGCAGCCAATTCTCAAAGATTTTATATTCGAACTTGCCATCATCCAGCATATCGATCTTGTTGCTATTCGACTGGAGCAAAATGCCTCATATCAGACACAGGAAATCTGCACATGCATTACAGGAAGAATTGCTGAGCAGTTCCTTTAACAGGACAGGAAAACAAAAACTACAACAAAGATGTAACATGTATTTACCTCGAATGATGAAGCAATTCCTTCAATGGATTCTAAACTCCTCCTTGAATATACCAACCCTGTGTATTAGGGTTAGTATCCACATCTCATCCAAAACTAAACTCTTCCAATAAATTCAATTTATGGTTTCTAAACTGCTTCTCGAATATATTGTTTCAGGCAACAAGTGAACCCTGAGTATCCAGGCATCCACAAATCTATGAAAATAACTCTTCCAATGCATTCCTTCTATGGTCAAATCCTTTCTTGAATCAATTGTCTGACAATAACTGACCTTGATGATCAAGGTTAATATCCACATAGCTTCAAAACTAATTCAATCAGCTTTAGACTTCGACGATCAATCCACAAGATCATCCAACTCTATAAAATCTCCCTCTAAAATGGATAGCAACTGCTGAGTAGTTTCAGCATCTACAAACATGTTACCACCAGAAAGCCCAGATGTCCTCCTAACCTGCATTCCATGCGAGAAAAAGGACATTCATTATCACCTTGCAAAAGAGGATGAGGACTTATCATGAGAAACAGAACACATGAACATGGAAACTAGAAAAATTCCATGTATACTTGGCCACTATGATATGCGAAAAATGCTTCACAAAGAAGTCACAGATACATATATGTAAAGATGCAAACCCCCATATCACATAGTAACAGATGTACTAGAAAAGGAAAATAAAGAAAAAAGCAGTTTCATGATATTGAGAACATTACTAAGGTTGAAGTTTCAACGACGACTCAAAGGAAATAAGTAGAAAACAGAAATATTGCAACTATTTGTCAAAATATGTAATATTTTTCATCAAAATACTGCACATACTTGTGGAAATCTATAAACTTAGAAGCCTTGATAGCAAACATACTTTTCACATTCCTTTGAAACCAGTATATCAAAAAATATTGCAAACAAAAGAAACATAGCTATATTGGTAAGACGTGAATCCATAAAAATTACACTAATGCAAGTAATGCTACTAAAAACCCTGATGATTTTCCACTTGGTATCACGAAGCTGAGATAGAAAAGCAATAATTTATAGCACAGATGTATATTATACATGCTGTGCATGAACAAATAATACTGTTTATTATTAGCGAAACACATGAGAGAAATAAAATAAGGAGCAGGAATGCCAAACAATTATGGTGGATATAATATAGCTAAATCAACAGGCCCGACTATATGAGAATCTTACTGGTTCATTGGATTGGATGCCTGATGGAAACTGGAAACTGGAAATAGAAATAGGTCTAGTTGTGACCTGATCATCAAGCTCTCGACTTAATCTCACAGAATATCTTGATAAATCATTTTTCATATTGACACAATAGTCATTATGCCCTTTAGCCTCAGCAATATCAGGTGTGAGGAATCCATCATGCTGAGTTCCAATGTTGCGTACAGCAGAAACACTTTCTTCAGCACAAGAACTTAAAACATTCTCTGAAAAGCTATTTCCTCCACGAGACTTGAAAAACACCCGACATAGGTCAAACGAAGCCTGCAGGTGGATAATATTATGAGGTTTCGTAACAGTAAAAAAAATGTAATTAAATTAAATAACCCTTTATCCAGATTGCCAAATAAATTTAAACTTGATCTACATAGAAAAAAAATTCAAAAGAGAAGATAAATAATAAATTCGTTTGAAACAAAAATATATTAAACATATCACAGCACGCCAATTCAATTTTTCAAAATGCAAAGAACAGATGTGTGGCATAACACGAGCAATTTGACATTTTAGAATTGAGACCACTAGCTGATCACAGTGTCCCTAAAAACATTTTTCAGGTTTACCAATAAATAAATCTGTGTTAATGTTTTGTTTGCGTGTATGTGTGTTGACATGGAAAAAAGAAAGGAGAAACGAAGAGGAGTTAAACCAGATAGAATTTGCTTAAGCTATATCACTAAATCAGAGTTAAATTAGCCTTGCTATAGGAAAATTTGCTTCTTTAGTTATTTTTTGAATCAGAGGAAGAATCATTTATCAGCTGCGGAAACCAACTAATCAACAAATGTGAAACAGGAGCCATCTATAATAAAAGAAAACAGCATTGCAGAGACAAGACCTTAACTGATAATTGAATTCACAGGAAATCATCTGTATAATCCTTATTAACAAATGGAGTATAAACAAAATTACTTGACTCTAAGAAGCAGTGTTAACACTTCCAAGTATTCCCAAAGCATAAAAAAAAGAACGAAAAACAGATTAATTTCACAATGCAGACATAGGATTACAGACATTTACAAAACCCTGATCCTAATTAACTTTGCACTCTGAAGTCCTAAAATTTCAACCCAAATCCGCAAAGTCTCCAATAAAATCACAAAATTCATAATTCCTAATCAAATTGCAACTGATTACTCAACATTATAAGAAAAATTAAAATTAAAATTACCTTAAGATGATCAACAAGAGCATACTCATACAGAACCCAATCAGTCCTGACTGCACTCTTAACGGAATTCCCCAAATAAAAAACAAACCTAGTCCTTGTCCCCATAACCACCTTCCCACCTGGACCCATCACAACATCCCTAACCCTACCACTTCTCCTCCAATACCCTCCTTTTGCCTTTCTCTTCAAAACGCTAACTTCCTTCTTCGTATAGCAATACCAGTGCCTCTTCCTCGCTTTATAACCATAAGCATAGCAAGCATTCTCAGGTAAATCAAACGGCTCGTAATCGTACAAATCCAACTCCTTAATCAGATCATAACCGTTGAGATCATCGGTGTCGTTAGAAATGGTGCGGTTCTTGTTTGTGAGGTAGTAGCGGAGGAGTTGTTCGTCGGAAGGGTAAAATCGACAACCGGGTGGTAATGAAAACGACAGTGTTTTGTGGTTTTTGTGATTGTCTTCCATTTTAGTATTTGGGAGTGCACCAAAGGAAAATACTGTGAGGGGTTAGAGGGGGTTTGGATATAGAGAGAAAGATGCGTGCCCTTGAAGCTTTTCACTCACTCTAGTATTACTCTAGTGTATGTTTGCCTTATCTGTCAGCCACACCCTTAATTTTTATGCTTTTTTTTTTGTTTCTTAATTTTATTTTTATTTAATGAGTCAAATGTGGACTTTTCCACTATATATATGTGTGTGTATTCAATGATATTACTTGATAGTTTTACTTAGGTTCGAATGGCTTGGCATTTTTAACTAATTTTCCAATAAAAGTCTTTTTTGGTCGAGTTTTGAATCTACTATTTACGTTTGGTATGACGTATAATACCGAAAATGAGTTCGTTTACTGTTTAGCATTGGTGGTTGGCAATATGTAAAGTCCGTCCATCAAGCCCCGGTGTGGATAATTGGTATTATTGACAGAATTAAAGTTCCGTTTTTTATAAAAAAATAAATAAATTTCGTGAGATATGTATATTTAAAAAAAAATTGCTTTTTTATATTTGGCTATATCGCAAAACGAGTTAGAAACATTTTTCAATGTCTAGCTATGCCGCATAAAATATGTTCGAATATTGCATTTGTTAAGATATTAACTTTTTAAAAAAATAGCATCATTTCTTACGGTGTAAAACATTTTTCGATGTTTGGTGTATATGAAAATAACTTTCTTTGTTATGGCATCTTATTTTTATAATAGAATTTATATGATATAACATGTATTATTATTTTTAAAAAATAACATTTTGTGTGCTTTGATATACTTTATAGCAACTTTGTCTAAATTGAAACATCTATAACAACAATTATATGCCTAATATGTTAAACATAATTAATTTTTATATATTGTGTATGAATACATCTTAATATACTAACTTTAATACATGCATGCATACATGTGTATTTAGTTTATTATTTTACGATAATGTAATATGTTTTCAAGTATTTTTATAATTAATACGTTACTATTTATGTATATTGAGAATGAAGTGATGTATCACTTTTTACCACTCCAGTCCTTTGCGAGTAGTGTTCTGTATTTTTATTTTAACTCAAAAATAACTTATGTTTGACTAGTTTTATAAAATACAACGAAAAAGGGTTGATTTGTGGTACTGTTGTGGCATATTAATAATAAAAAAAATTAACCGATCAAATGAAAATAATTTATTTGGGTTGTCAATTATTCTAATGTTAATCCAAATTTGATTTAGTTTAAATAGATATGATATAAATTTTTTACGATTTGAGTCCAATTATGATTTGAATCGTTAACTCGGTCATTAAAAGGATTAGAATTGAATTTATTTCGATTTAGTTCGATAATAACTCAATTCGAAATTAATATATATAAATATAAAACTATATTGAAATCTAAGATATATTTATGTAATTTCTACATAACACTAATCGAGATGTTAGATGTAGACAATACAGTCTTTTTGCATGAGCTATTCTTACAACACTTAAATCTCTAAAATATATATATATTTTTTATCATTTCACTTATTTAGATAAAGGGTAGAAACAAGTAGTTATAGGTTAAATTTTGAAACATTGAAAAACTCATATTATTAAGGAATCAAAGATGATTGGATTTAAAGAAAAATTAAGAAAAAACAATGTTAGTACATATCTATGTGATGTTACTAATATTAATAAAATAACTTGTACTGATAATTTTTTATGAAGTAAATTTGTTACAAATATTATAATGTTAATAGATTTTCTCTCTCTCTCTCTTTTACAGCCTTAACTTATGTATTATCATACTGAAATTTGAATTAATAAATATTTATTTTGTGACATATTTTATATCGAACAATATATTTAATTTAGTAATTTTTTTTTTATCAAAAACCAAATACTAAATTTGATGGAGTTTCGAATCCAATCCAATTTTTAAAATTCTATCTATATTTATAAGATTTAATATATTTGATTAAATAAATAAATATATATACATATATATATATTAGGAGGAGTGCTAGCAATACATTATGTAAAAAACTGAAATATTTTTTATTTATTTTTAAAATTTTATAAAAAGATTTGACATGAATACTTTTATTAAAAAAATGATTTAAAAAAAAATGTTAAAAAGAGTATCCCTAGCACTCATCAGATTATAATGCAATCCAAATCCGACTTGTTAACAGCCTTGCTAATTATAATTGTATCAGAACTTGATCCGTTAAAAACCTTTATTTTGAAGACCAGATCGTGGAATTCTCACGCTGAGTTGGCATGTCCGGTGGGGTAAAGGTGGACGGCGACTGGGCTTATATTGGTCAACGTGGAATAGAGAAAAACTAACTTGGCCGCCGAGATACGGTTAAACTCGTACTTCTGTTGTGCTGTTGCCTTGTATGGCTTCCTTTCTTTCTTTTGTTTTTTTCGGCGGTGGTATCGAGCGATGGTATAACCCTGAGCGGTGTATGTGTATGGATGGAATGATAATCTGGGAAGAGTATGATTCGTTTGTTAAATTGGTACTCGCTCCACGAGTTCATAGATTGAATATGGTGAGCACGTGTTCAGCATAAAAGCGGCGAAGTTCCTTATTTATTTAGGTTTACCTGCGGTGGGTGCGAGTAGGACAAGAAATCATTGAAAGGGACAAAAGGGGAAACCGATGTTTTCGATGCAGGGAGCATGCCTATGGTTTCGGGTGCCTGGTCTTCGAATTTTCCATTTCTACGATACGGAGATTTTTGGGAAAAAAAAAAATAGAAATCGTGGGGAGTTTTATTTTTCCAAGCGTTCAGGCAGTGCCAGGGCTCCATATTTGGTTTTTCTGGCGTACACAGGCCCAAGGCCCAAACTAGCAATTGCTAATTATACGTAAGACAAAATTCATCGCTAGTTTGAATTCCAGGAATAAAGAACATGTAATGACAATAAAGCAATTAAAATGAGTAATCAAGGTGATATCTTATCTAATTCCGTGTACGGCCAGTAAATTAGGAATCTAAACGAATTTTTAACCGAGGGCATGCATGATTATAATAATTTAATCTTGTGATAGATAAATTTTGTAGAGATCAGTATAATTGTCATGATATAACCATCATTCATTGCCGCCGCCCCCGCCATCGCCATTGCCACTGATGGAGGCGGTAGTGGTAACGGGCAAAGTTACATCATGCAGAATTGTATTCCTTAAATTTTTGAACTTTTCCTTTTAGTATTTATATTTTTCATCTTTTCATATAGGTCTAAGTATGTATCAAATGCCTTATATATATATATATATATATATATTGTCAGCGAATAAATTTACCCCTTTCAAAAAAAAAAAAAAAAGGTGGTTGCGGTTGTTGAATAGGAGATGGTGGCGAGATGAACGGTATTTATATTATTTACGTTTATATTATTTACAGTAATATATGTTACTTTTGCAAAAGAAAAAAGGAATTGTCATGACTGCTATCATCGTCGGTGACCAGAATGATCACGTGGAAAATAGTTATTGGAATGGTAATTAATATTCCTATTAAATCACAACCACGATAAGTATTGCTTTGTGTTTTCTTGAAAAAAAAAATATACATCCACACAGGACTTCGCCATTAATGAGATAAATTTCATATGCAGGTAAAGGTCGAGCAACCAATACGAAAGAATGACTCTGTTGAAGTAAGCATCACTTCTTCTGCCTGCTAGACCAAAAAAAAAAAAAAAACATTTAATGAAAATATGGATTTATAAGATGTCCATGATATACCACCATCAAATATTACCACACATACATTGTTGGACAACCATATTCATCAAAAAAAGAAATTATAAATCAACATGTGGATGTTAGAAACTAGCAATCCGAAGAGAAGAGGCTAATTTATTCTCTATGCCATGAAAGTTGATCACTTTCTCGCTTATATAAAAATTAACATATTAAATATTACATGTTAAGTCTTTTAAATTTTTAAAAAATATTATATTAGGTATCTTCTTCCACTAAAAGTTAAAAAATATTATTAAGATTATTCAGGTCAAATTAATACCTTTCTCTATACTCTAATACTTATTTTACATATGTTTGTTAACGATTTAACAATTAACAAAACACATCAACTATATGTTCATCTTATATTAAAACTCATACAACCATCAATATTATTTTAAATATCATCACCTCATCAATAATTTCACCTTTTATAACGTGCCTGTTTTTTTAAAACAAAAGTTTTTGTTTTCACTACGAAGTAGACAAATTGTTTTCACCAGCAACTACATAAATCTTTCACCCATTACTCGGGTAATTCTAAAAAATATAATTTATGCATAACAAAAATTCTATATATGAATTTAAGGTCTATTTTAACAAGATTTAAAAATAACATATAGATTTAATTCAACAAAACAAAATATAATGACATATTAAAAATACTAAATGTAAATTATATATATATATATATAATACTACATCTAATTAAAAAGGAAAATGACTGGATATGAATTTTCAAATAAAAAAAATACACTGAATTGAGCACGGATATGAATTCTCAAACGAATTTTTTTTCACTAAATTGAATATTAACAAAATCTATAAGAAAAAAAAACAGATTGGAAGAGCGTAACTCATGATGTTAAAGAAATACGAACAATAAGCAAATAAGCACCTTTGTTTATCTTGTTCAATTTATATCATAAAAAAATTTCATTGACATCAAAGTTTTATTACGTTTGTTATAGGAGTTTATATTTAAGAATAATACTTGTACAGTTAATTTTATTTGTATCTAATATTAATTTTTTTAACCTTTATATTAATTATCAGCTAAAAAAACAATTCACAGAATTAAAATAAATTCCTAAAAACTCTAGAGAAAAATAAAAACCAGGTCTTTAAAGTTTATCAAAACATTTGAAGTTTAATATATATATATATATATATATATATACACACACGTATCATTGTCAGCAGCAATGATGATAATCATGAGAATGTTAGTTAATGATAAGCAATAATGACATAGCATCTTTCGGGGGAAAAAAAAAATAGAGAGAGAAATCCGTTCTCATGCCTTATTTTCTTTTCCACCCGTTCTTTTCTTCCTCGTATAAAAGTAACATTCAACTCTTGGAACGATTTAAAAAACAGTATGTTACCTCCTGTAGTTCCTGGAGCTTTTTTATTTAATTATTTTAACATTTTATTGGAATTTTTGATGCACCATCTTTTATGTTTTCGATTGGTTATTATTTTAACGTGAGTTTTAAAAATTGTGATTGTGGTTGTAGTTATAGTTGTGACTGTTAAAACTATATATAAAAAATAAGAATATATGCTGTTAAAATATTTTTATATTACAATATATTAAAAAATTAATAGTTGCTATTTATAATTTTTATTTTTGAATTTCAGAAGAATTTCAAAATAACTTATAAAATTTTAAACAGATACTTTTTTCATTGATTTTAAAAGGTTAAAAGCTAAAGAAAGCTAAAAGCCTTTTTACACCAAAGGGGTACTACCTTCCCTCGTGGCTGATAGGAGCATCGAAGCACACGGCAACTTGCGTGACAGCCGCTGGCATTACTTCGTTCGTGTGCACACGTGGTAACACATGTCGGCAGGAGAAAATACAAATTATCTTCCTCTTATCTGGATGAACTGAAAAATAAAAAAGATGTGTTTTAAGCCCTAGGTGCGAGTTCTCCTCCCATTTTGCATTCTCTCCAGATAATTCTGCTCCACTCAAATTATCTTTCCCATCAATCTCTCCCCTGCATTATCCCCTCTTCATAGCTAACCATTTGAAACGCAGGAGTGAGTGCGACCGAAATTCTTTCGAGCAAAACTTGGTTGTTCAAATTTTGATATCATGACATAATTTTAGTGGTTAAAAAACATCTTTCTTCACTATAACTATCAATCTCACATCATTGTGAGGGGATCAGAACTTTTGCATCAAAAAAATTTTTACTTCAAAGCTGTTAATCTCTAACAAAAAAAATCCCTAACTTTTTATTTCAAAGCTCTCTCATTCACACATCAGATAAAACCTAAAACTCCATCTCGTTTGAACTTTGACTACCCATTTGTCGGTCGCACGACTTACGCCTTGCTAGCATTACCTGCTCTTCCTCCCACGCCTCTCACCATTTACATGCTTTCTACTTTATGGATTGATTGTTACTTCTACAAGTTACAACATCAACTCTATACATCTCGATTGGCCTATAAATCAATCGTCTAATTAGTTTTCAAAGACCTTTGTATATTTTGACTACTCCACTAGGGAGTTAGTAATTGTGAAGAGCAATGATCTCTTCCAAAATAACAAAACGAACATTAATCTTGTTATCGGCTCAACTACTTATAACAATAACGATACCTCGCATGATATTAATCACAATGTTGATAATGTTAGCCTACTTAACACGAGAAAATGTCAATAAATCTTTTGAAATCAATAGTGGTAATTTTTCAACACTTCCATCACCACTAGGAGGCGACCTACCTCGACCCATTGCTTAGTCCCTACCACGACTATTTCAAATTCAAGTCTTCGGGCAATGATAAAAGTCTTGAAGGTTTTTCAAGATCCTCGAGTCTAACTACAACAAGAACAACAATATTTATTTAAAATCCTTCAAAGGCAACAACCCAAGTTCATAGTAACATCACACAACTGCTATTTACATGTGGAATCTCCTAGACTTTTTTCCTTTGAGCTACTACACTAAGGCCTAATTGTTACTTTCTTTAGCCTTTGTTAGTAAGTTAAAGTAGCTTAATCCAAAGAACCTAAATCTTTTAATTTAAATCGATAGTCCAAATTTAGATAATGTGGTATGATCTTAGTAGTCAAAGGTCATCTTTTTTTTTCACTATAAATACTAGCCTCACATAATTATGAAGGGATCAAAACTTTTACATTAAAGAATTTTTTACTTCGAAAATTTTAATTTCTAGCAAAAGAAACCTCTTAACTCTTCATCTTAAAGCTCACATACTTACATATCGAACAACACCTAGAGTTCTATTTGTTTAGACTTTGACTACCCATATGTCATTCATGTCACTTGTGTCTTACTAGCATTGCTCGCTCTTCCTTTTACACCTATTTCTATTTACATTCTTTCTGCTTTATGGGTTGACCATTACTTATACAAGTCATAACACCGGCTCTCGACATTCTAACTCGGAGTACCGACTAATGGTTTAATTAGTTTTAAAAAACCCTTTATATATTTTTGCTTATCCACTTACAGAGTTAATGATTGTGAAAAACGATGACCCGTTTTAAGATAACCAAGAAGCACAACAATCATTCTATTAGCTTAATTACCTACAACAATAATGATATCATGCATAATAATAATCACAATGTCGATAATGTCAACCTACTTGATATTGAGAATATCAACAACCTTTCAAACTCTCGAATAGATGGTGGTAACTTGCTAGCACTACCGAGCACCATTAAAAGATAGTTACCTTAACCCATTACTCAAGCCCCTAACACAATTGTTTCAAATTCAAGTCTTTAGGTCATGATCGAAGCATTTAAGATTTTTCAAGATACTTAGGTGTGACTATAGTAGGAATAACAACATATGTTTAAAACACTTTAGAGCAATAATTTTGTATTTATTCAAGCCACGAGAAATATCACACAACTACCGTCTACGGGTGGAATCTTTTAAAAATTTTCTTCGAGCTATGACACCAAGGCCCAATTGTTACTTTTTTTAACCTTGGCTAGCCATTCAAATAACCTAAATTTTTTAAACTAAATCTAGCCATTCAAATTTGGATGGCATGATCATAACGATTAAAAACCATCTTTCTTCACTATAAATACCGGTCTCACATCACTCGTGAGGAGATCAAAACTTTTACATTATAGAATTTTTTTACTTGAACTTTTATTCTTTAGTAAAATAAACCTCGAATTCTTCATCTCAAATCTCTCTCACTCATACATCGAACAACACTTAAAACTTCATCTCGTTTAGACTTTGACTACATTTCTATTAGCCACACTACTTATGTCTTCCTAGCATTGTTTGTTTTTCCTCTCATACTCTCATTATTTGTATTCTTTGTGTTTTTTTATGATAGCTTCTATAAGTTACAACATTAGCCTTCTATGTCTTGATTGGCACGTTGACCGATCATCTCACCATTTCTCGAGAACTCTTTATATGTTTTGGCTACTCCACTAGGGAGTTAATGATTATGAAGAACAATGGCTCCTTTCAAGATAACAAAGGACAACATTAATCATGCTATCAACTCAAGTGCCCACAACAATGATACCCTACATGATATTAATCATAATGTTGATAATGCCGACCTACTTAACATCGAGAATGTCAACAACCCTTTAAAATCTCAAATTGACGATGACACCTTGTTAGCAATACCAATAACACTAGGAGGTGGCCTATCTCGACCCATTACTTAGGTCCCGCCATGATTGTTCCAAATTTAAGTATCCATGATAGAAGTTTTGAAGGTTTTTTAAGATGTTTAAGCTAACTACATTAAGAATAACAACATATGTTCAAAATTCTTCAAAGCAACAATGTTGTATTTATCCAAACTCTTGGTAATATCACACAACTACTATCTATAGGTGGAATCCTTTAGATTATTGTCTTTCAAGCTATGACCACCAACTATTAATATTATTAATCATCAAATATTATGTATTCAATCGGATGATAAGAAAGGTATTTCTCTATCAAACAACCACTATATAGCGTATATATGACTCTCAACCACCTTATTATATTCTTCTTCTAGTGGTCAACGCCACTACTTTACTAAAAGGGACTTAAAAAAATTCTTCAAATGAAAATTAGAAAAATCTATCGGCGAATTTAATCTTAAACTTTCTTACTCAACTCACATTATGGTGAGACCTTACCTAAATAACTATATGAGTCATGAGTTTAAAGTTTTCAATGGAAAATAAGAAGATACCAATGAGCACCTTATAAAGTTTATAGAGATCTTAGGTGTTTATGACTTAGTTAATGATTTGAAGTTGAAAGAACTTTCTATGTTCCTAATTGAAAAATCATATAGACGATATATAAACTTGACCCCTAGTTTTTTCCAAACTTGGATAAATACGTATAAACTCGTTTACTAAAAAGTTTTTCTTCACCTATGAAAGGGTGACCATGTCCGATTTAAGAAGAGAATGTCAAACTTCTAGAGAAGAGTTTTTAGACTACATTGAGTGGTTTAAAGACCATGCCTTGGAAATTAAAGAGATTTTTTATGAGAAATAAGCTATGAAGTTATGTATCCAAGGCATGTATAGAGAATACAAAATACATCTTGAGAATTTAGGTTTGACTACTTTTTCTACCTTAGTATAAAGTGCTCGTCGGACTAATAATTTTATTATCATTTTTAGAAGAATGACTTTACTCCTGTCGTTAAGTAGGATCTTTTAATCAATGTCATCCAGCTAGATAAACGACCTAATAAAAGAATAAAATGAGCGACTATAAAATGAATCCATCATCAATTTTTCATCACACCATAAACATGGTATATGTTTTGCTAGACCGATGGGTGACTGATTAAGTTGTTATCCATCCGTGGGTAAAAAAGCCCTCATCTTAAGATGACGAGAAAATCTCGGATATTATTGGTACCATAGATATATAAGACATTTGATAAAAGACTATAGCAACTTGAGGTTTTGTTTGTGACAAGCTAAATAAAAGAGAATCATTTTTGAAAATAAATATAATGTCAAAGAAAATCTCTTACCACGACACCAAAATCACAATAATGACCATGTAAATGTCATTTGTATGACCCAACTAGGTTAAGAGAAAAAAGGTTTAACATTTATATCTTTTAGGATGCTCTCAACCACACCATAGGCTATGTAAAAAAAAACAAAGATGATGTTGATAACTCAATTGCATTTTTTTTAATGAAGACTCTCAATTTTTACTAATAAACTTATTTTCGATTCTTATAATTCTTGAGTATTTTTTCTAAATAAGAAACAGAATAAGATTTATCAAAGATTAGTTACACCGTATGGTTAAATATTGGTTAGTCTTTATAGCTATACACACACACACATACACACACACACACACACATGACGCTTTAAATAATATGTGGCCAAGTTAAGTGCTTGGTCGGACCATAGGCTTTTTCATCCCGAGTTTTTCCTAATGGTGACACAATATTTAACTAGCCAAGTCTGTATGTTGATCAAGCCATGAGTATTTCAATAGCTTTTTCTTTATGATGACAATGTTATATTCATCTGGTTAAGTGGCACGCTAATCGAGCTATGAGTATTTCATACTCGGTTTATATTTTTACGATAGCAACGTCATGTTCAATTGGTCAAGTTTTGTGCTTGGCCAAGTTGTGAATATTTTATACTTAATTTTTTTCATGGTAATGCTATATTCATCTGATCAAGTAGTATGTTGACGAGGTTTTGAGTATTTCATACTCAATTTTTTTTATAATAATGCCATATTCATCCGGCCAGTCGCATATCGGCTCTGGACGTAAGTATTTTATACTCACTTTTTTTGA